TGGGTGATGCGACAGTCACATGATCTGAGAGTACTTACTAAGCCATTTTGGGTCGCGCCAGTGAATTAACGACCATCCCTCACCTGCACCCACCCTTCGACTCTTTGGCAGTCTTGAGGCCCCCCAAAACAAAGGCGGTCGGCCCCGAAATGGTGATATTAGAAGCTCTATACAGCTATCTTTTACAGAGTTTTAATTTGTATTAACGCCAGATGGAATTTTCTGCTTGATGAGTTTGATATGTGTGAACCGAAGTCTACTATTATTTATGCGCTTCATAAGCAAGAATGATTGAAGAAAGTTGCCTCGCCGCAAGCCAAAGAAGGAAAGTCTGGTTTATGAGATTATTATCTTCTGTTAAAAAAGATCGCCCGTGTACTGTTTGATATTGGACTAATAAGAGCTGGAGTGTCGTGCCAGATCTTGTTCTGTATCTTTTACTATTATCCTGTTATGAAGAGTCACCCTCCATTCGATTGTATGATAGATATCAGTTCCTTCCCAGTTATCAACCGTTGTATCCTAGTCTAGTATGGAATTTTGGTGTTCAGGTGGATTATGATGTAAAAGGGGAAAACTTCGACTTCTATGGTGGGAGGGGCTGGATCTGAACGGGGTACACTCGCGGCCAAAGTTCTCGGGGGCGGGGGCATATAAAGAGGACTGTTCCCACAGAGTGGAATCCTGAATTTGAGAAGCGGTCCCACTCGGGGAATTGAAAGTATTATTATCAAGGTAATAAATGCCACCGAGGAGCCTATTGTAAGAAGTCTTAAATGCCAGTCAAGAAGGTAAGACTTCCCAGTAACCAGAATATATAGAGTTAGATCTAAGAAGGGCTTCTGACAGGTTCAGGAAAATGACAAGCAGAGCCAAATGGGTTGTACTACTTATGCTGCAGGAGTGTGGTTGATAGCAATATGCTGATGGAGGGGCAACGAGCGGTGGAACTGTCAGGAACAAGTGGCCACATCTCTTGGGTTTTCCTTAGTCATTCTGGCTTTTTTGACCTTCGGACCGGGCCGATACCAAATCTGTGATGACTCGCCAAGATCCACATCTATTGATTCACAGAAGAAATTGTAAGATCATCCGATCCTTTAAATTATAGTTGTCATAAATGATCATCCTTTGCGGCTTTTCCTTGTCTTTGTAATGCTTACTGTCAGGAGATATCAAGCGTTATTGAGACCGCCTAAGTGTTTATCCGAGATGGTTCACTGATATTACCCGATTCACAGGGGTTTACGTGTTGTCACTGTTATACAGGCCTCAAGGGCTCAGTTGTTCTAGAAATCAGACTTCAATTCATCTCTTCGGATCCCTATAGTAATTTGTATGGCAGAGTGAAGTTGGTTTGGACCTGAAACTTACCCACCTAGTCCTTAAAGAAATTATTTATATCTAAACCCTTGACCATTCCCACAATACCTTTGTTGTGACTCGTGGCCTTAATATCATGGATCTCCTGACGGACCTCCTCACGGCTACTTTCATAATTAATGAGGCCAATAAGGAGCTTGCCCCCATTACTTATATTGATTTTAGTAATCTTTTGTCCGGTGCGTATGTGATGAGCTTCTGATAGTAAGTTTTCCAAAAATTTCCGCGAAAGATTGAGTGCTATATGTTGCTCTTGAAGTTGTTCAATAAGCTCAGAATGATCACTATCGTCTGTGTATTATGTGGTATTGGCCTGTTGTAATACTTTCTCTGTCTTCGTATTCTGTTCATCTATCTCTATTATTTTCTGGGAGATTGTAATTTCTGTCTCTCGCAGCCTGCTTTGTATTGTATCAGTAATTGTGTTTGATGTGGCTGTTGTCAATCTATTAACCAGGTAAGTATAACGCGGGCAGTAATTTGGAGCTACGCGTGTGTGTAAATAAGTATATATAGGACTGCCGTGCTGACTGCCGTGCTCATAGTAGATTTGCAGCAGCTGAGCTGCTTGCTGAGAGCCTTGATTGTTGCCTCCGCAAAAAGACTAATACGAACACGATCCCACCAGTGAATTTTCTCATTTGAGTGTTTTGTCCATTGCTTCAGCTTCGTACTAAAGTTGTCACAGGCCCTTGCGCAATTAGTAATGGCTAATTGCAACGCAGTCTTTGCTTTGAGTGTGAGTGCTTCAAGCTTTTTATCCCTTTGTGCATTGTCCAAAGTAATAAGAATCGTGTTTACTGCTGCCAGCTCATTTTTTAGATTAATAATGATGCCAGGCACATCTTTGATCGCATTGATAGTATAGATTAAAGTATTAATACTCTGTAATGCTGTATTGATGATACTTAGAGTACTAAGAGCCACGCTGAACGGATCTATTGTTGAAATAAGATCAGATGAAGATACCTTGCTAGAAGAGATTAATGAAGTTTAGGATTATGTTTTGGAATAATTGTATTGAGTAAGTAAAATTCAATCAATACGAAGAGATCCTGAGGTAAGAAGTCATTTGGTTCTGGGACATCGCAAGATATATTCTTAATTGCCGCGGCCTAAGAATCTTGGCCTACCCCGCTATTTGATCATGTGTTATTAATATCTGACTTGCCCGGTAGAGCTAGACATAGCTCTACTTTTAGATTCAGCCTTATAATGTCAGCGGAGTGGGCTGAATCATTGGTTCTTTTGACCCCAACTGTAAGAAAGATTGTGCTGGAATATGCAGCAGTAAATAAAGCACGCCAACATGCAGTTGGTTAAAGGGGGATTTAATGTCTGTGCTGGCCCCATTTGAAGTCCATGGTCTCCCGCACCTCAAGCAGACCAAATTTTCTAATCTTCTATTGATTAGTACTCTTTATTTTATTTAGCTACTTTTCCTTTATTGTGTTTGAGGATCCTAATACGATCGCCATGCCTAGTGGACTAATATTAAAGGGTCCTGTTACCCTGAATATATCTGAAGTGAGTGCTGAGAGTGGTGGTAAATTATTTGCAGGCTATGCAGATAATAGTATTAATAATATATTTCACGGTGGCAGCCATATCCACCAGCTTTCTGGTAGGGTTCCCTCTGGGAAAATGGATTTAAATAATAATTTTTGAGCCTCTAGAATGACCCGAAACTCCTGTAAGCCCGCTATCGACTGTTCTGTATTGAAGTGGTCCAGATTTTGTCAGCCGTGACATACTCCTGGCTCAAATTCGAGAAAAAAGCTTGGCCCCTGGGTCTAGGATAGCGCTCGTTGGCCTGGGTGGTATAGGGTTAGTGCAAAGCCGCCAGCGGGTAGTAGGTTTGCTAATGATTTGATTCAAAGGAAATCACAACTTGCCATAGAATTTTCCTACTAGATATGACGCCAATCGCCAGCGACATGGGTGCTCTGGATCTATGCAAGTAATATTACCTGGTATAAACAAAGTCTTCGGGACATTGCAGACCAGGTGAAAATACTGGACCGTCAGAATCTACAGGTCAATATATATAAACTTATCGAAGATTGGCTCCGAGACAGGAAAAGAGATAACTGGATCCTTATTCTTGACAATATTAATAACTATAACTTCCTTACCACACCGCCTACAAGCCTGAGGGATACAGTCAACAGCCAAGCTAATACTCCAGTAAAACCACTATTGCAATATTTCCCCTAAAGCGAGAGTGGCTTAATGATTATAACAAGTTGGTCTAAAGATATAGCATCAAGAATTGTTCATTACAAGGATATTATTGATATTGAATTTATGAGTAAATCTGAGGCCGTGGAGCTTCTGCAAAAAAAATCCCGACTACAAGAAGAGGATGAAAAAGCCAGTGAATTGGTGGAGGAATTTGAATTTATGCCACTGGCAATTATCCAGGCAGCAGCCTATATCTATTGTCAAGGGCCCTGATGCTTGATATCTCAGTACTTGGAAAGATTTCGGGAGAATTATAAGAAAGTAATTAAATTTCTTGAATATGAACCAGAGTATCACTACTGTGACTGGAAGGCAAGGAGCTCTATCCTGGCGATATAGTAAATATCCTTTGAGTATATTTGAAAAGCAAGACAGTCAGCAGCAGATTTACTCTCTCTGATAAGCTTTTTTGACTGACAGGGGATTCCAGAGGACCTTCTCTGAGTGAACTATGAGACGAAGAAAAGCTACTTGAGTTCTACAAAGACCATGAAGGACTTGAGTGATAAAGACACAGATAGTATATCTGAATCTGATACAGATGATAGCTTTCAGTGGGATATTATAACACTAAGAGACTATTTATTTATATCTGTCAGTGAGGATAATGATATTTTGACAATGCATCAGCTTGTACAACTGGCTGCTCGCTCCTGGTTAAAATTAAGGAAATAACTGGAGCAATGGAATGGAAAGTTTATCAGTACCCTGTGCCGGGAGTTTCCAACTGGTGAGTACCAGAATTGGGAAAGATGTTGGCAGCTTTTTCCACATGTTAGGTCGGTAATGTCACAACAACCAAAATCAGAAGTCTGTCTGATATAATGGGCTGTGCTACTATACAGAGGTGTACAGTATGCATTAGTAAGTGGTAACATGACAGATGTAATGAATATAGCTTCAAAGTCCAGAGAGCAAAGAGTAAAAATATTAGAGATGGAGGATGAAGACACTCTTACAAGCACTCTGATATTAGCGGATGCATACAGTCGGGAAGGGCACTGGAAGGGGGCCGAGCAGCTTGGGGTGCAGGTAATAGAGATGAGCAAGATAAAGCTTGGTAAGGACTATCCTATTATGCTGACCAGTATGGCCAACCTGGCATCAACATACTGGAACCAGGGCCGGTGAGAGAAGGCTGAGCAGCTTTTTGTGCGGGTGATGGAGACAAGCAAGATAAAACTTGGCAAGGATTACTTCTCTACGCTGACCAGTATGGCCAATCTGGCATTAATATACTGGAACCAGGGCCGGTGGGAGAAGGCCGAGCAGCTTTTTATATGGGTGATGGAGACAAATAAGATAAAACTTGGTGAGGACTATCTCTTTATACTAACCAGTATGGCCAACCTGGCATCAATATACAGGAACCAGGACTGGTGGGAGAAAGCTGAGCAGCTTGAGATGCAGGTGATGGAGATATACAAGATAAAGCTTGGCGAGGATCATCCCGACACGCTGACTAGTATGGCCAACCTGGTATTAACATACAGGAACCAGGGCTGGTGGGAGAAAGCTGAATAGCTTGACGTGCAGGTGATAGAGACAGGCAAGATAAAACTTGGTGAGGACTACCCCTCTACGCTGACTAGTATAGCCAACCTGGCATTAACATACAGGAACCAGGGCCGGTGGGAGAAGACTGAGCAGCTTTTTGTACAGGTAATAAAGACGTGCAAGATAAAGCTTGGCAAGGACCACCCCTCTACGCTGACCAGTATGGCCAACCTGGCATCAACATACAGGAACCAGGGCTGGTGGGAGAAGGCTGAGCAGCTTGAGATACAGGTAATAGAGACACGCAAGATAAAACTTGGCAAGGATCACCCTGATATGCTGACCAGTATGGCCAACCTGGCATCAATATATAGGAACCAGGACCGGTGGGAGAAAGCTAAGTAGCTTGACGTACAGGTGATGGAGACACGCAAGATAAAACTTGGCGAGGACCACCCCTCTACACTGACCAGTATGGCCAACCTGGCATCAACATACAGGAACCAGGGCCGGTGGGAGAAGGCCGAGCAGCTTGAGATACAGGTGATAGAGACAAGCAAGATAAAGCTTGGCGAGGACCACCCCTCTACACTGACCAGTATGGCCAACCTGGCATCAACATACAGGAACCAGGGCCGGTGGGAGAAGGCCGAGCAGCTTGAGATACAGGTGATGGAGACAAGCAAGATAAAGCTTGGCGAGGACCACCCCTTTACACTGACCAGTATGGCCAATCTTGCTTTTACCTGGAAATCTTTAGGTCAGTATGCTGCTGCTCTTGAGTTACTCAAAGTGTCATTAGCGAAGCAGAAACAAGTTCTAGGACTTGATCATCCCGACATTTCGTCAAATCTACAGACCTTGCAGCAATGGGAGACCGAGGAATTTGGCACCAACAGGTAAACTGGAAGGATTCCATTTGATCTGTTTGACGTGTTTGTTAAATTTGTTCTCTATAGAGGATCTCGAAATTGGCTTGACCAACAAACACACCCTGAATGTTTTTCGGAGCCACTGCCAAGATATTAGCTCGGGTAGACTATTGAGCGGGATGGTGTAATTTTAGTAAAAGTTGTATACTGAACAGACTGTGTTTCAGACAACCCATAACTTTCATACGGCCTGCTCAATAAGATAATGACGCTAGTGTTTTGGCAGTAAGATTCGGAGCGATTGTAATAGGTTTGTTGGTCAAGCCAAATTTGAGATCGCCTGTAAAGCTTTCTGCAGCAGAGACGGTTGCCTTATTTTCTCTTTTCTTTCCTTAGTTTAGTGTTCTAGTCTTTGACGCAACGAATGAAATAATGAGATCACTCCCTGAGGCCCTCACATTAATAATGAACATGTCGAGCTTCCTCTTTTTCTCAATGTATAGGTCTTAGTAGACTTTTGTTATATACAACTACTGTGATAGGTTTAAATCTAGGATTGTCATATTCAACTAATCTGATCTAGGCAGCTCACAATGACAGTATCAAACATTAGGAAGATAGTAGGATCTGATAGCACGTCAGCTGCAAACAATCAGCAAACCACATGACCTTAGACATTCACTCTCATCTTATTCATACTCATCACATATACAAATGTTTCGACATAGCCGCAAGCTGGCCTTAGGCTCGCGGGATAAGACTATTAAAATCTGGCACCCAGCCACGGACGTTGAGCAGGGTACACTAACCGGCCTTTCCAGCACGGTCAATTCGGTGGTCAACCAATCTACTCCCAATTATCCTATATGTGTCGCGAACTCTTTGGTCTCTCTATGAGGTAAAAGGGCTCTGTGGCTTCCTACTGACTATTGTTTTTTATATATGATTTGCTATTAAGGATACTACGATTGCCCTTGAGTTCACAGATGGGCACGTTGCAATCATAAGGTTTGATTTCCATTAGGAGAATATTCTTTAGTCTCTACAACAGTCTCTTAGTTTCTATAATCTGTATAAAAGAATAGCCTGGAATGTGGAACACCCATTTACTATTACTTCCCACAAAAGAACCGTCCCTCGGTTTTTGGAATCTTTATTGCTACTTCTACTAGTCGAGATGTTTATAGATTACCGTACTAAGTACATGTCCTTACCGTACACTGTTATGTTATAAAACACTATTATTCCATCCGGTTCCAGATTAGGTCTAGCGTTGTTTCATCTTGGGGTTGCTGGAACAATCAAAGAGTGTAGGTAGTGACACCAGTATGCGGAAGCCCTGTACTTGCTGCACACCTTTTTCGTGATAACGATCAATTTTCCCGACTATCTGCAAGTGCTCAGACTCGGCTGTCTCCTAAATTCCTCAATAAGTGGCAGGAAATTGATATTCTGAAGTTTCTACCTGATGCCATCGGGGGTATGTACCCGTTCTATCTCTGACTGGATTGTCTGACCATTGACAGACGATTTAGCGGGTCGTATCGAAGTACTTCAGCAAAAAATATTGTGTGAAATGCAATCCGTTGAAGAGTCTCTGAAGGATAACCAACGGGGATATGAGATGCAAGGGCTGGTTTGTGTACGCTGTGGAAGAACTCATCCTGTTTCAGCGGGAAAGTGCCATGCCTGCCGCAATGACCAGCTCTACACCAAACATTGCACCGGTGAGCACCGCGTGGCAGAATATTTCTCAGCCTTAAGGAAATCTGAGCTCTGGCCTTCTGTGCACCCGTTTCGAACGTGTTCTGCAGAGACCATTGCCTTGCGTATTTCTCGTGCAAAAGTAAACTTGAGACATAACTGCGGTGCTGGTAACGTTTGCCCTCTCGAACTGGAACTAGATATGCTGGCTCAGAAAGTGGACATGATCTTGAGAAAGCTTAAAGGATTCAAGCTCTATCCCCTTTGTCGAGAGGATCTCTAGCGAGCTTGGTGAATGCCCTATTGTAAAAAAGGTCAATTACTGTGATGTTTGTCAAGGGTGCCTGTAGTTTTCCCGCATGGATTGTCCGTGTCTATTGCTTTACCGCTTCATTATGGCTTTAGAAGCAAATGGCAGCGAAAGTTAAATATCTCCACAATATTCAATGCCGACGTGAAAGCATCGTCGGCAGTATTTAATATAAGGTTATAACAGGAGGCTCCTTATTTAAGTAGCAAACAACATGCTACACAGAGGCCTTCCGTCTTAAATCTACCAATATTGGGTAGACTTCATAGAAAGCATATACAGTTTAGCTATCCCGTCCCAGTATATGTAAGATAAAATTCTCGTGGGTTGCTTCGAGCCTGCCAAACAACAAGAAGATCGAGGAAGAGGACATCCCGCGGATCGAGGAATGGGCGCGATGAATAGATACATCCTTTGCCGCCGAAAAGACTGAGCTGATCCACTTGACCCGGCGTAAAACGGCCCATTGAACAGGACAAACCCTTTTGAACGGCCAGGTCATCAAGCCAGCCGATACAGCCAAGGTCTTGGGAGTCATCTTCGACAAAGAGATACAATGGAAGGAACATGTCCAGGAAGCAGTTAAACAAGCAACTAAAGTCAGCCTGGCCCTAAGTGGGCTAAGATACTTGCAAGCAGAACAGATACACCAACTCTACCAAGCCTGTATCACACCGGTGGTTGACTATGCATCCAGCATCTGCCACAACCCGCTTTAGAATAAAATGCACCTGAGACTCCTGCGGACAGTCCCACGAGCTCCTCTGATCCGAATACTCTTAGCCTTCCGCACCGTATCCACAGCCGCACTCGAAGTGGAAGCTTACATACTACCGACCCACCTGCGGCTCAAACAGCGGGCGCAGACCGTGATCGCCCGCTTCAGCACCCTACCAGCGGACCACCCAGTCCATGAGGTGATAGCCCGAGCGAGGGCACGGAGTACACACACTGGGACTAGCCAGCGTTTCCAACAATGCGAACGATGGACCTCAGCCGCCTGCAAGCCCTGGGAATCATCGATCCCAAACCGCTAGCACCATGGTGGACTCCGTCGTTCACGGAAATCGACATTGAGCCAGATCCGGAAAAGGCCAAAGCCAGTGCTCTGACAAGGCAAGCGATGACTGAAATTGCTGTCTTCTCCAACGCTTCCGGACAACTGGGCGCAGCAGCAGTAGCCCTAGACCACAACCAACAGATTATAGGATCCTGACAGATCAGTATCGGTACAATGGATTACTGGTCAGTATATGCGGCAGAGCTCATGGCAACCTACTACGCCATCGGGCTGGTATTCCAACTAGCACAGAAAAGTCCAGCTGCTGCAACAATGACCCGAGGCCCAGCCACCATCCTCAGCGATAGCATGTCAGCGCTGCAGATGATCGCGAACTCATGGAACAAGTCCGGCCAGCGCATTATCCAAGCCATCTACCAGTCGGCGAGAGAGCTGAACGCATGTAGAATCCCACTGCGACTACAATGGGTCCCGGGACACTGCGGCGACCCCGGCAATGACACCACAGACCACTTAGCTAAGGAGGCAGTTGGCCTGGAAAAGAAGCACCCCTTCCAACGCCTTCTCTCGCGCGAGAAAGGACATATCCGCAACAAGATCAGCAAAGATTGTGAACATAAGTGGAGGGCCTCCCCAAAGGGAGGACACCTCCGTCAGATTGATCAAGGCCTGCCCGCAAGCCGCACACGCCGGCTATACGGCTCATTTCCCCGGAATCGAGCCTACCTCCTCACGCAGCTCCGAACCGGTCACTCATGGCTCGCGACACACAGCAAGCGGCACGGATTTCAAGACCACGCACAATGCGAGTGGGGAGAAATAGAGACAGTGGTCCATGTACTGCTTGACTGCCCGCAACTGAAGGGGCTGCGCCAAGGCATGCGGCAGAAGATTGGGATAGCGTTCAATAACATCTTAGAGATGCTGGGAGGAGCAGGTCAAGATAAGAAAGGTAGGTTGGAAGATGCTCCGCCAGACAGTAGCATTCTCACAGCGGTACTGGACTTTGCAGAGGCATCGCAGAGATTTCGAAGTCGCGCGCCATGAGGCCGGCAGAACACAACCCCAGGCACTAGCCACCACAGACCTTGACGAGGCTCCAAGTTCGTAAGTAATAGTCTACGGTTTACAGATGTACATAGAGGATAGACCTAGTGGTACCCTGCATATCGCTCAGGCGAGGGGTCAGCGTATGAACAGAAAAAAAAAAAAAAAAAAAAAACTGTATATGCATGGCCCACTTGAGGTCAATAAGAACGAGCCTTTACACTTTAGTCAACGTAATCAATGGTTGGAGGGGCCATCCTGTAATACTATATAACATATTTTTTTTTATTTAACATATCTATTTGAGAACTCCAGGAGACTTGATTCTTGATATATAGATTTTAAATGATATAAAGAATCTCTATATCCCTTAAACGAATCTTTATAGCTACACAAAGTAGTAATTCATATAAAATACCTGTATTTTACTTGTATTGTATAAATATTTGATACATCCTATGAAATAAAATCCTTGAATATCTGAATACATTATGCTAAAAAAAAAAAAAAAAAAAAAAAAAAACTTTGTATATTTAATCTATATACAGAGTCAGAGCCTCTCAAACATTGTATTGATTGAGATATTATAGAACTAAAAAGGTATCTTTCATTTGGGATAGCAGGATGGCCCGCCCAGCCGTCCGTCCAACCGTTGATTTAGTATCTGACCTACTTAGTATTCTATCCATCCAAATCAAAAAGGTTTCCTGACCTTTCTTCCTTGCCGCAACATCTGCGATTGTCAATATATAGGACGAACATCCTTAGGTTATATAGTAAGTGATCCCTTATGTGATCCCTTCAGTAATACTGTGTTGGTAGTGATTCAGTCTAATACAATAGATCTTGAGAATAATTAGAAACCCATATTGCCATAAGATCTGTTTCAGGTCTTAGCGAATAGCATTCAGTGAAGCGCCCAATCATCTTAGACCACGTAACACGGTCCTCGAACACCAAATCCCACGCGCATGTGCAGCTGCAACGCGGTTCCAGCTAATCTAGAAATGCCGGAACTTTCACTTAGAGCAGATTTGTTAACACGGGTTGGGCACCCTAATGTCTTTTTGTTGTTGTTTAAAAATGCGGGGTAGCTACAACCAAGATAATATTAAGTAGGCCTTACCTTCCCCCTCTAGATTGAAAAACGCTCATTTGACCCAACCTTTCACGAACATAGCCTTTCCATGCCCCAAGCCTGCTGAATAGTCTATCATGGCTGAACGTGGGTACGATGACTTTGACGACTTCGACGACGGCCTCGATGAGATTGGTATTTGTTACGGCCCCCCAATGACAGATCTGCAAACTACTCCCCTCCATGTCGCTGTCCAAAGAAAAAACATTTCTGAAACCAAGGGGCTCCTAAGATCTGGGGCGAATGTCAATGCGTGTGATGGTCAGGGCAGAAGTGTTCTGCAGGTGGCTGTCCTAGAAGATAACAATGAAGAAATGATACGGCTTCTCCTTAAATATGGGGCTGATGTAACGGGTTCCAGCGGCCCCCACGGCAATGCTTTGGATCATGCAGTACGCGCAAAACTAAATATAATGCAAACATTGCTGGACCATGTCGCATCTCAAGGGGATGACCGTCATGCGGCTTTAAACAGTGCTCTGTACTACGCCTCCGAGAAAGGTCGGGCAGAAACTGTTACATTGCTCTTATCTCGAGGTGCGGACCCCAGTGCAAGAGGTCTCGAGTATGGGAGCGCAATCCAGGCAGCGGCTCATTTTAGGAGTAAAGAAGTGGTACAAGCTCTTCCGGATGCCGGTGCTCAGGTCAACACTCAAGGAGGATATCATGGTAATGCGTTGCAAGCCGCGGCCATGTATGGACGAGTATGCTTGGTACAAATGTTACTGAATGCTGGCGCAGACGTCAATGCTCGTGGGGGTATCTATGGAAATGCTTTGACAGCAGCTACAAGACGAAAGAACACAGAGGTTGTCAACATTCTTCTGCAAGCTGGCGCAAAAGATGACTTGAGCGAGAGCGAGGGATTGGGTGGATCTGACATGACTGAAGACATAGGTGGTGACTTGTTTGATTATGCATATCATTAGTTCCTGTATTGCTCTCACCACTGATCGATGCGCATAGGGAATGAGGTCATAGCTTCCTGCATCCCATCTATGCGACGATTGGGGCATAATCATTATTAACATCAATACTATTCGTTTTACTGAGGCATATTTTTGCCCGTCGCAGCTCGCGGGACTAAAGCAGATAACGATCTGGTCTTCGCTCATTAGTTGACTGATGTTGCTCATATAATACACCGTCCCCAATCAATCGTTAGCGTTTCTTCGTAAAATCCGGGTAATAAGTCTACATATACGTAACTATAAAGACGAATAGAGAATCAGGCCTCCAAGCATGAGTAGCAGTCTATGATATTTCAGCTGAGCCTGTGTACCCAGCGGTCCAGTATCCAGCAGTAATTTAGAATTAGTATCTTCCGCACATCTCCAAATGTGGCAATATGCTTGTGCTACAGATTGAGCATCTTATTACCTTGCATATCTGTTTTGCTATTTGACCTCAAGATGAGTGCAGCCTCCGGACTAGGAAAGAATAGTGCTTGAAGATCAAAATTACCTCTCTTGATAGAAGAAAAAGAAGACGCCACGACATTACGTGATGTTGCCTTCATATGCCAGAGTAAGATGCTCATTAGGGAGAAAGTTCGTGGTAACGTTATCAGATATGAGTGGGTTTGGGCTCAGGCAATGAGGGACTGGTAATTGTCATTGGGAATGTGGTGGTAGATCTTGGTGTATGCAGTTGTATTTAATAGCTATGGAAGCACAAAGCAATGACCTAGCTATCCCTATGTTTAATGCCACATAGAAGGGTGAGACCACATTAAAGAAATATCCATGATTTTTGCGGTAATACACTGATACCTGAGATCCCACACAGCCAAGTCCTATAAGTCCTTCGGCTATAGAGCTGCGTAGGTGGAGGATATGCTTGAGGAGTCTGCCCACGCTGAGGAATTAGTTCTTACTGTTTCCAGCCTTCACTCGGTTCTCAGGGGAAAATGATCCATAAAAAACTGAGGGCTATAGGACGGGGGCCATGGCTCACATGAGTTGCTTTCGAAAGGTGTCAGGCTTGTACCTGCACCGTTGCTTGACTGAAGGAATGACTGAACGTGGTATTGTACGGGGTGATACAGATGAAACTGAACAACAGCCAATAAATCGAATGTTTACTTGTAAGGCATTTCCAGAGTTTATGTAGCAGCCGAGACAGTAAAATTGTCATATGACATCAGTATTGCGCTGGCATTGTCTACACCCGAAAGTTCGTTACAACCAAGCATCCAATCATTTTTCAGTCACACTCAGCATGCTGTTTAGGTGGCCTCTTCTTGTTCTTGTTCTTCTTCTTTTTAGTTTCTGATCCTCGAAAGCCCCAACCCCAATCACCATTGTCTTCGTGATGTAGTGAACTTCGGAGTTGGCCATTTCGCAATCAACTGGAAGGAGCTCGATTGCGGGCTCACCACACGGGCAGTTCCGATCAGAAGCGGATAAACATGAGATATTCGCAGCGCTATGTTCTTTAGACAGCGCTTTAAACCATTTTTCTCCGTTGTGGTCATCGGTAGGCTCGGATTGGGTAACTGGAAACGATTGTTCACGCGAAGACTCGCCATCATCCTTCGTTTCACTACCGCCGCCGGTAAATCTAAGAATGTTTCGCAAGCGTGAGGTCTCGGTGGTAAAGACTTTGACTATAATCTTCACTACAGCTTTGCTGAATGCTGGATCATTCACAATCTCCTTATAGAAGTCGTCCAGCTGTAATATTGTCTCATCCTCCGCAAAGCTGCTAGAAAGCTTAGAGTCTAGATAGTGATGAAACCATTCTTCATTCTCAGGCAATCTCGAAAATATCGACCGGGCTCCTTGAAGGATCTGGAAAATCAACAGGGCTTCGCTGAGAGTCATAATGTACTTTTGGGCAAGCGCGTCGAGGTCGTCTATCTCGTGCTTCCTGGCGGCTTAGTAAATCTGGACGCTTCTCTCATATTCACGTTTAACGTTGTGTGGCTCTTTTTGGGTTTCCGCGCAAAAGACCGTTTCATATTCCCTTTTATATAGGAAATGTAGGATGGTGTGGCCAACATCCGCGTCGATATCTCCAATTAGAATACGTGAACACCGAGACTGTCTGGCTTGGACTAGCAGATGCCCTGGTATATAATTTTCCGGAATGGAGTAGTTCTTGTTTCCGACGGTAATGATGATGATCCTTGATTGTTTATTAGGACTACAATAGAGACAAGGGGATTAGCACGCATCATCAGAGACATAGTTGTCTTCCGATAATTTTGACTGGTCGTAATCAATTGCTGAGCTCCTCGAGAAAGCCATGGGTACTTTTGCCTCAAATATTGAGCTCCTTTCGTTCATGGTTGGTTGGAAGATTGGTCATGAATAGGAAAGAAGATAAAATTTGAGAAGAGCTCCAAAGTAAAGGATTCGAAATCAACCAAACCCCCGTAGAGGCCAACTCATTGTAGTCACAGAATTTTAGGAGAATAAGGGTTATGGTCGTCTCATTTATTCAACCCAGTGCTAAGACCTCTCCCCGAGGATCACACTGGAGAATATTGCGATGACACGGAGCGAAGAATGCGACCGGGTGTCTTCTAATAGGTTGCCTTGATGTGGACATGCCATCCGAGCAATAGGCACCCCTTGCATGCCAGCCTTGCTAATATCCTTAAAGAGAGTGTATGTGATTACAATTTTCAGTATACTGAATTGAAGCAAATGAAGGCTGAAGGGTGTTTATTGTAAGTACTACTTAAGTGGTATATGAAAGAGCTATCTCTATTCAGTAATCAAAACACCTCGCCAAAACCTGCTGAACTGGCAGCCATACTTATAGATCTCAATCTTCTGCTAGTTCAAAACAGAGGGAATGCTAAATTAGAATGCTTGCAACCAAATTCTTGGCCTGAAAGTGACAAGGGTATGCGAAATATATATCCTCCATGTAATGTAATTATATCTTAACATATTATTGCTGTCGAGACCACATACGTGCTCTACAGGATTTCATTGATATTTTGTCACACTCAAATGAGTTGTGAACAAGACGAGTCGACTAATGTGTGCGGTGCGTAAGCATATATTGGAGGTAAAGATCGTAATGATGGAATAGCGTGATCACTATTCCTGACCAATTGAGATCAAGTAAAACGAGATGTCACCGCAGAAGATCATGTTCTAAATAGAGAACGATGGAAAGATCCATGATCTAGCAGAGCTGTTGTGCTTATGCTAGTGACCATATCTGTCTTCCGACCATTTAGCAGAGTACTGGATAAATGGGTATTTTGGTTGTGTAGTCCACCATGGTGGAAACAATGCTGGCCCCAGAGACAATATCATGCGGGAGCTCAAGGTCGGGAACTCTTTAAGGAGATCATGAAATGGGCCTTGTACCCGGAGCTTTTCTAAACAATATGCAGCGTACTGAGCCAACCAGTCTAACAATTTATCGTGTGGCGGGAGCCCGAGGAAAGAGAACCGTAAAGCATCAATTACTGCGAGTTGTGTGTCGAGACTGTTCGGTTTGTCCAAGTCCGTTATGCAAGCAGTCACTTTTTCATAAGCCAGCTGTTGAAGATCGGGAACAATGTAAGTCTCAGAAAATATGTATAGACGGATATGGACAAGAAGGGGGTGGTTCTCTGACATCAAGTCAGTTTCGGGAGTTGTGTTTTCAGGCTTCTCGTCAATATCCGTCTCCGTGCCTTCCAGCAAAATTGGAGTCTGTCCAATGTTGGTTCCGCTGATTGCGGCGGGATAATCGCCTCGGTATGCCCATTCGATAAATCGCGCAATTGTACCCTCCGCCACGTCTTCAAATACATACACGCCGCTCTGGCCTTCCTTGAGATTACTGTCCAAGGCTGCAATCAATGGTGAGGACTTGGAGTGAAGCAGCGTTCGATGGATCCTAAACGAACGTCCCGTTTGACCAACTTGAAGGGAAACAGGATCGGAGTCTAGAAAACTGATTCAGGTCAACGTCTACTACAAATGCGCTTTGTAAGAAGGAGTAGCTCACTCAAGATACGGTAATTCTCGTGCTTCCCTCATTATACTATTCGTTTCATCAAGGGGCGAGTTTTGACGAGGGGTGGACAGCAAATCTTCATTCAAGGTTTCAATTTCCGAAAAGACGATCGGACTGAGCAGATGTGGTGGTCTTTGTTTCCTTTTCTTTTTTCCTGCCATAGCTTTTCTAGTCGGATGGGAGGATGGAAGATCTCTAGACTTGTACCATCTTAGTGCAGAATGGTGGATATGTGTCGCAGCACGATTGGTGGAGAAATATGAGTGATGAGTTAGATGTACTGCCTGTATGGGGCTAGGCAGGAATCACGTATATATTGCAGTAGGTATTCTGTAGAGACTCTTAACACTCATCTTTTTCACGACACCAGGCTAGTCGCGTCGCATACTTGGGCAAAGAAAGTCTGAAATTGCACTGCATCTAGCTATGGAAGCAACCCTCGCTTCACATAATCCCCACCATGGTTCCTCTCACCGTGATAGTGCATAATAATTCTCGGTGTTTCAACCATGGAGATCGCGTGGCTTTACTCATAATGTCTATCAGCCGAATGGCCCTTAGGGCTGCTTCATTTTTCATTATCGACCATATCCATGTTGTATATACTGTAATCGCTCGCAATATCCTGTCTAGAGTGCCTTTATGGGCTAAATATGTCCCCTGCAAACTCTTTGGAAGTACCCGTCCGTCTGACGCAGACGGTTGCGTCCTTGATAGCTCGCCTTTTGGAGAGACAAGCTCAAAATATTCGACGTTATCCAAGCAATTTTTAGATCATAACTTCGTAACCCACGTTGAAAAAATATAAAGTAGATAAAGCTAAGTCTTGTCCGAAAAGAGTATAAGGGTTACACTAGAAGTGCTCATTTAGTTAAATCGCGAAGCACCAGAAACGGGAAATGTAATTTCCTATCACTGTGAGCTGATTAGCGCCCCTAATGCAAGCTGTATATCAACTGACCTGCGTCGTATTCTAAACAGAAATCGAGCAATACGTAGATCCCTATAGAGCCAATCAAGTACTGGGAACGATGCACGCCCTGGTATGTAGATATTAGAGCGGAAAGGTCTGTGCTCTCGTACGATAAGCTGCAGCGCCACAACCCAGCTTGGACGACACATAACGATATCAGCCAAATACGTTGAGGGGTTTCGACGGAAAGGTATGTGTAGTGTCATGACAGTTTTCGGACGTGATTCCATACGGTGTCTTGCACTATTACCATGCCTACCTCAGAGTCTCCATACTTTTCCCTAATGTAGTAGTAGTGGGGATCTTCCATGGATATCTTGTAAGCAAAGCTCTTGGGACAGATATGTTAACAATACATTGATGATACAGTATCACCCACACGTACTGTATTGTATTGAGTACTAGCCGAAAGCTAGAGAGAAGCTGCAGGCCAGATGATTAGTGACTCACCGTTAGTCCAAGTAATTGTCACCCCGGTGAATATTTGTCAGAAGCCAATTATTTTCTGCTCCAGCATACCTTGACATAATACTCGACTCCCATACATGATTAACCGTATAACTTTTTCGTCTCCGCCCTTGCCAATATTGACCCTACATTCAGTCTCTCCATCTTAGTGAGCCTATGTCTTGAACCTCGAAGTTCCTCAACCTCGTGTTCTACAAGTACCATGCAACACCTAAGAAGTGCGACTACGGCATTTATCTCTTCTGGGGAGTCCTTTGCTCGAGAATATACAACCGCACTAGTCTTTGGTAGTACCGGATTAGCCCTCGCTACGGCACCTATCGCTGGCCCTGCAATATTAGGTGCTGCCGGTTTTGGCGCTACAGGGCCTGTTGCGGCTTCACTTGCTGCAGTATGGCAATCTTCAATCGGAGCAGTTCAAGCTGGGAGTCTGTTTGCCACATTACAAAGTGCCGCGATGGGAGGTGCTGCTGCGGGAGGATTCACAACAGCGTCGAATATTGGTATCGCGATGGTGGGATCCGCGGCGATCGGCACACAGTGGACTTATAGCAAAGGAGTACCACGGATGAGGCGTGATATCAAAAGTACTGATGAAGCTGGATACTGTGGTACTGTAGCTCTTTCTCCCTGAACACTTCTCAAGGCTAACTCAGATATAGATAGCGATCAGCCAGATGATGAATTTGACCACAAGGCAAGCAATCCACAGCCTTGTGATAAACATGATAGTTTGGTAAAGGAATGGGCAAAATTGCTTCAAATAGACCCATCTTGATTAGATATTCCCAACGTCGTACACCAGAGCAACGTGCAAGAGGAAGCCCGTTCAAATATTTATCATAGCCATATCTACAGATGTTTCGCCTTTTATCTATCCTTACTAGCCGATCCTTCGGGATCTCTTACAATCAACGATGACGACGGTAAGGATTCATACTCCGACAAATCGCCTTAGACAATACCTATGCCAGTAGGTCTCTTTCTTATAAAGAGTTATTGAGAGCCAAGAAATCCAATAACTATCCTGATCTTTGTAGCAGGATGCTCTGGTTATATGGAGGTATAATAACATCTGGGAATCGATGTTACGATTAAACGAAAAGTACAAGGGGATTGATCAATTGTCCTTGAAATCCACATTGAAGTATATATGATAATCATTATCAGGGATATGCATACCGCTTATTGTGCTTTGACCTACTTACTCATGCAAGGGGCAGAAGGGTCATCGGAATACAGAGAATCTAATATCTCTGTCACTGATTTGACTTGGCAGGCGCTATGTGCTGGCTGATCTAGGTTGATTTTAATATGAATGCTTTCCTACAGACTGGGTAAAGTGAATGTGGGACCAAATGCTCACGGCAATATTACTATAACATTATTTGAATATTGTAAGTATTTGTTATTCTATCAAATGGAATATGCTTGGCATGTAACACACATCACAAGTTTCTCGACTAGACAGGGGTTGGGTCACTTTGATAGAATCCATAGACTGGCTTCTGTTACATTCTTCGTAGACCTATTGTCTCCCCACTGAAAGAAGGGGTGCGAGCAGGAAAAGCGGTTTTCCCAAATTAGGGTCTCTCCAGCGCGATGACGTCTTATAGAGGGTACTGTTAGGGGTTTCTCAGCGAGTCGGTGAGACCAGGTAAACAAGAAGAAACCCCAGTCATATTTACAGGCCCCATCCAAATCCCGTCTAGAAAGATATACCTGTATCTCAGAACACAGACGCGATTGCCATTCGAAGCAAGTCAATCCTTACTTCTTTGTCAAGCAACCTGTCCCCGAGGGGCCAGAAGTAATCCGAGGTACATTTTCTTGACCGGCTGCGAAAATTGAGAGATTTATATCAGTGCCCCTGTGTCTGTGTCTGTGTCTGTCATACATCGTATTAATTTGGCATTTAATGCGAAAGGGGTAAAGCGAGGAATCATGTGAACAACTGAACTGTAAATATAACGCGTAATGAATCATCTGAGCATTACCGCGATCTCATGCAAGCTCATTCCTGGTAATTATCACACCAAATGTCTCTATCTGAACTTCTTGATATCCTCCAATCGAACATCGTTGATCTCGAAGGTTCTCACCCATGGTCGATACACAGGAACGAGGGGAGCCTGCAGGCGCCGCCTACCACAAATTGAATCAAGATCTATTTCGAAACAGGTCCAGTAGGCATCCTTCAGTTCACGCGTCCATGGTCCCTAAAAAGTTTAGTTGCAGAAGCCAGGTTATGGAAGAGCATCAGACTTACCGAATAATAGCAAGTTTCCGAAAACTCTTCAGGAAAGCTGTCGCCTCTTTCCAGGATCGAAGTTGTGAACCGCCCCGCTTCAAGTACTCGTCCAGGCGGTAGCCGTGCTCACCCCATGCTTGGTATACCCGGAAACCCTCTCTTCCTATAGCCAGAACAAAACAATGTGCAAAGGACGTATAATTCATGTTGCGGCTTTGACGCTCACCGCGTTCAATCATTTCTACATCGACAAGACTCACGACTAGCACGGTGGTCTTGCCGATTTTACCGTCGATTGCCGCTTTCTTGGCCTGGGACAATTGCTTCGGCAGATCGGATGAAGTCGTGCTCGAGATATCCGCCATGGTAGGGAGCCCACCTAAAGAACGCGATTGCCATTTCAGAGCCATGTCCATGGCTTGTGGTTCTCGTGGGGAAGCAAACAACAAAACAAGTGTAGTAGCAAGCTTGCAGGAATTCCAAGGCAAGCGCTCAGCAGCAAAGGTCTCCATCAATGAAGGGTTCTCTCCCAGGAGAATTGCGGATTCCCCACACAATACGGACTGTTGAAGAGTAACAAATTTAGTCGAAGCAACAAAAAGGCCATCGCTGAAGTATGCTTTAACAGCACGGTCTAGTTCTTCTAGTGGCGTGTAGGGAAGTCCCATCCTTGCCCGAACGGCTAGTGTTGCTTCATCTTCGCGCTTTCCCCATATTCTTTCTAAGGCACCATCAAGTTCAACTGGTGTACATGACAGCCGTCCACTCAGACGGAGAATATCACAGATCGGATGATCCGGCGGTGGAAGTGACCGCCCCGTCGACTGAGATCTGTCATTTGCTGTCAGGTTACGCTTGTAGAAAAGCTTCTTGGTAAAGGATGCTGACCTCAAACTCTCAGGCTTCCTAGCTACTCGTCGTCTCTTTGGCCTGGGCAATGGCATCGTATCCAACTCTGACCGAAACCTGTCGAGGACTAGGTATTCACGATGGTACTGGTGAGAAGGGGATTTCCGTCTAAATAAATGTATGACGCGGGCAGTGGGAAGAAGCAAATCAATATAGCACGTTTCTGATAAGGCCTCGATTTGGTTCGCAACCCCGCTTGTACGTCTCCGGAATTGTTAGCCTTCTCTGGAGCCACGTCGACAACTCGCCCGCAGTGTGCATAAACACAGATTCCAATAGCTTCCTCGTTCTGGTACAGCCCTTAATCCTTACATGTTTTGACCAGAATCTTTCACATTAGACCTATTTGCTTTCAATATGAGCTTCCAGAGAAATACTATACCTCGAGCTCTAATTTGACCATTGAATACTTCACCTTGGTGACTACTAAGCAATCAGAGCGCTAATTGAAATCCGAATACTAAATATGCTTGCAGGTGGCCAAGAAACACAGAGAATAGTTGTTACATGTACTGTACCATCCCCGCAAACACATTACCCGTGGAGGTGCAGTATTCCCATGGATTTTTGTGGCATACAAAAGCGACTGCGTCGTAGCACATCGTAGCACCTGCCGGCATAGAACAGCCAAAAAAAGGAAAAGGAAATGGGCGATTGGTGGGATGACATACGTACCCATTCAGATCGGGATTAATCGCAACAGCCGCGGGAAAAGATCGCATTTTCTTTTTCGTTTTCTTTTGGCAGGAAAACCCAGCTGGCTACCAACTTACTATAAACTAGACAACGTTGAGAGTTCTATTCTTTTCTTGCTCCGATTGCTCCGACAAGCTTCATGCCCCAAATGGGCAGTCATATTATAGATTCTGGGCGGATCCAGGGTCGGGGATTTGGAGAGTGACCGGGTACTATTCCATAGCCTCTCTAATCTTACTCTGCCATTACTATTGGCACATTGTGACAGCAATGGCTGATGCATGGCCACGTCATGCGAGACCTACACATGCCATCCCACCGAGCAAAGCATAGTACCGGCAAGAAGCTGATGGCCGAATCAATTCCTGCACTCCCATTCAGCAATTCGCATTCGCTTGTTCATTAATAGCGGCAATGATAACCTTTTCTTTTGTTTGCAAGAGGGCACACCTTCTCCTATCCAAATATATTCTCGAGCACTTGACGGGGAAAGGAGGAAATAAGAAAAAAAGCCAGCAGTATCCAACTCCGCTAATACAGCTCAACAGGAGAGCACGACCGTGGCCTAAGAGATCTTGTTGTCCAGCTCACGACGGATGACCTCAACATTTTGAGGAGTGGGGGTAATCCTATATTCTGTGACAGTCTTTTGGAACCTGTTCCCAAATTCATGCTAGAAGTCCGTCTTTCGACCTTGGACAAGTGCGCTGAGTATCAGAGGCAGATATGGAATCTGGGATTAAAGGAATTTCATTGCGTGCGCGAAAGCATGTCGAACAATGTGCAGCTGCTTAGCTTTCCATTCGTTGTTCTACTTTACCTGTTGTTACGGTGACAATGCAGGGCTTCAAGCGCCAAAGCGGATTAATGGTGATATTTACCCAGTGAGCTAACTGAAGGGCATGCCTCGTCGGAGCTTGTTCAAGCATTGTCTCGTTGATAGAGACATAGTGCTTGACGCTCTTTTCAAGTATGAGCTATTTTGCCCGTAATAGCCCAAGTAGACTGGGCAACCTGCCAGACATTTCACTAAGGTGATTGATGGCAAGTTTCAACTTGTGATTATATTTCAAGTCCTTAGATTACGCTCCATTCTGTAGCTCAGGCATAGAAGGGACACAGATCTCGGCATGTGCTTCCACAAAAAAGTTACAGTCGCCCATAGCACAATTGAAGAATCCTCTGCGCTGCTTTTCCCTGCCACTTTCTCCCCACCTGCTTGGCTGATTGCAAAGGCACCATGGATTCTTATCAGAGATGCCTATCGAATCAGCCCAGCTGCTGAACTTTCCGCATTTTCCACATGAATAATAACTCCGGCCACTGTGCCCGTTTTGATTCCACGGTTTGACAACTTTAACTAAAGTTGGAACTTCACATATCTTGCATAAGGGGCTAGTAACGCAACCAGATAAAGTCGGTCCCGCCACACGTGGTCGCAAGAGACCGATCGGGGCAGGTTGCAGCTGAGGCGTTAGAACGAGTCTTGATGGCGATGATACAGGACCTTCCACTGAGGTAGGTTGACTTGTGTTGGCCGGACGGAAACTTTTAAAAGAAGTCGTGTTTGAACAGTTCTCATCGGACGAGATTATTTGATGGACTATCATACCGTCAGCTTAGAGGGAAACGATGGCGCTTATAGAGGTATACAAGCTGGATTTTTCTCGATTCTGGTGGTGGGGAGGGCCCCGGGCCCCTTACCCTTCCTCCTACCGAGACACCAATTTATGAGCTCCATGTTAAAACGCCGATTGAGCCAAAGTTTTGAAAGAGAGATGATATATATCAGCAGGTGGTGCACTGGGCATGATCTACTTGTGCTTTTAAATATTCAAAAATTTGGTAGCCTTCGCGGTCCGCAACTTCTGATTATGCAGCGTCTGGAGTCCACGCTCGCCATTCTGCCTTGTCGATGCCTCCGTTATTCTGAATCAATAATGTCAATCCATGATAGGCTGCCTTTCCCTTTGATTGAGCCTCAGTGCACACAATTCACAATGAAGGATTCGTATTACACGAATTATACAGGCTCAACCAAATATGCGTTGTCTTACGGCGCCCCGCCCTAAGCCTCATGGCCATAGCTGACTTCGCCTTCCTTCCTCCTTCGGGAAGTCCAAGCTCCCAGACGTAGTGTAGGCAATGCTACGCTTTCGTAATTCCGCATTCCAATTAATATTGTAAGTCAGACGCACCCATTTGGATTATTAGATACCGACGAACTAGGATTACGCGAGAGACACGTAGACGAGGCTATATTTCACGTCAGCTCAGACAACACTATTCGCCGATAGGCTGCCGGGCGCCTTTCAGTCTCTGGCAGCCAAAGTAGCGCTGAGTAGGCTCACTCTCAGCTGGATTACTTGCCCACATGGCTGATATCAATTGGGTGACCTTCCAATCCCACGCTCAATCAAGGCAGTTATGCCTGGAAATATATTTTCTATATATGATATATAATAGCACCTGTCAGGCTTGCATGGGCCGTGAGCGTGCTTTTTTACCTGGCCATGATGGCTGGGTCCATAATAATGAGTTTAGAGAATCAAGGGAAGAGCCTTTGTGAAGCCACCTCTTGAGTAGAGTCACGCTTTCAAAGTGAGTCACACATTGATCAGAAAAAGTAGTTTCAAGGTAATAAGACAGTTCCTTCTACAACTGGGAGGCGTAATATACAGTCTCCTATCAAAACAACATATATATAAGTGCGTCTAGAACATGTAAGGCCACATGACACTTGGGAGGTGGCAGCTGCCCACACCCGAGGAGAGGGCTTCGTGAAATAGATCCTCTCTCGCGGTTTCCATACCCGTCAGATCACGTGATTATCAATCTATTATGTCACGTGTTCATGCATCGGTGTTATGATGTATTGAGTGCAAAGTCTTTCTCTAAGCAAATTCTTTTAAGTAGGTCTCAAAAACGCATTAGACTCCTGACTGGCTATATCTTGGATATTTATCTAAGTCAAAATTACACTTTTGCGTCGTTTCGTTCGTTGGCCACTTTGGCCCTCCTTCAATTTCCATAAGAGAGTCCACTGGCTCAGTTTATAGTCAATGCTCTGTATTAGTCTTGTGGAGGCATATCGTCGTTCCTATCCGCCTGCTCTGGGGCTCAATTGCTTAGTCATTACTTAGTCATTGTTAGCGTAATCCACGGTCGCGCGGGCCACCCTCTTGGTAGGATTGCCCGATATGATCAAAATGAAGCCTTTAAATCAACATAAATGCTTATAGAAAAGCTATCTAACTATTTACTAGGTGATTTAGAACACCGTGTACGTCGGTGGCCAATATTGAAGCAATTAGTACAGCGTGGAGACGCGCGTGAGGGGGTCTCTGTAGGTTGAGGTTAAGATTCAACCTCAATATCTTTATTATTTTGCACCTCCTTTTCTTATTATATAGCACTCTGGGTTGCTTCAACAGTGGTGCCTTCTGTATAGACTACTGACTTTTATGAGCGCTTCCTCTTTTGCAGCTGCTTTTCATGGCTAGCGTGTAGTTCCTCATTCTCCTTGGCCAGTATGATTGAAATTGTTATTGCTAGCTCGCACCCTTTGAGAAGCTGACGTAGTGTAGAGCGAGTAGGTGAAGTTGAATTTGCTTTCCGCTTTTAAAGTAAACGTTCAATGGTATTTTGATGCTTCAAAAGGTGCTTTATATTATGTGGTGTTTGAAACACTGAGCCGCTTGACTGACTACTTAGAGTTAGTGGTATTTTTAAGTGGATACTAAGCTGAGAAAGCACTTGATCAGGATCGAAAGGAACAAGACCTGTTGCTCTAAATCTGCTGATGATATTTGTTCTTGTTAAAGCTTGTTGGTGTGCTTTGGGATAGATCTCTAGGAAGTCAAGCTTGTTGATATAAATGCGGCCGTATTGTGCTTGCTTTTGAACCATGCCTCTATATGTGTGTTCTAACACGCTAAAACACCCAACATCGAGTGGCCGAAGCAGGTGGGATGAATGAGCAGGCATATAAATAGGTATGATATCATTTTCAGCACAGAATTGGTCAAATTCAGGTGTCAAATGACTACTGTGGCCATCGAGGACTATGAGACTGTATTTGCCTACTGATCTGCTTTTAACCAACGGAATGAAGTGTTTTTGAAGCCATAGAAGTCCGATTATATCAGTGGTCCAACTGTCATTGCTGACTTCAATCCTCCAGGTAGAGGGGACGGATCGACCTTCATACCATGCTTTTTAATGCGTTTTACCTTTGAAGATCAGGGTCGAAGGTAGAATCTATCTATTAGATTGAATACACTCAATTGAAGTGACTCATTCCCGATTTCCTGGTTAAAGTAGAGACGGCCGGCCAGCTTTTTGGGAACTAGTTACTACTTTATATATAGCAATCATTCCTATAGCAAACCCCGTTTCATCAAAATTGTATATATTGTCTGGTGATATCCCATACTCTTAATTGATCTCTCTAACCCGGTTGAACCAGTCTTTGATAATATTAGGATCTTCCATTTTAGCTTTTTGATAGTCGTATCGCCTAGCAAAGCGAGTACGTAGGGATTCATGGCGTTTAACAAAGTTGTAGACCCAGTTGATGCCTTCTTCTGTGGATTTTGAATGATCTTGTTTAGCAAGGATTAGATTAGCTATATTTCTGACTTGAAGTGGCCGGGGACTTGCGCCTTATTTATCTAGAGATAGAATCCATTTGACAAGCAATTCCTCTTCATTTTTTGATAATTTTTGACGTGTATTGACTATATCTTTGACAAAGTCTAGTCCATCTAATCGAGCCTGAAGCGTGGTTCGAGTAATATTATAAACACATGCTGCCTTGTGAATACTGGCAAATTGACCTTTCTGAATAGCTGTAATAGTAAGAAGAATCCTGCCTTCCTGCTCCACCTGCGATTTCGATGGGATAGGTGTTTTTGGTGGCATCTGTAGTGGTTGAATAACTTCAGGGAGGAGATAGATGATGGTGTTTTCGAAGGGGTGGCCCGCGCGACCGTGTGGCCCGCGCGACCGTGGATTACGTTAGCTAGAAACCCCGGATAACGTAATCCACCTTCGCGCGGCCCACCCCGCTGGTAGGATTACCCGATATAATCAAAATGAAGCCTTTCAATCAAGACAAATTCATATATAAATACTATATGCCTAATTACTAGGTGTTTTACAGCACTGTGTACGTCTATGGCCAATACTTAAGTAATCTATACAGCGTAGAGACACACGTGAGGGGCTTTCTGTAGGTTGAGGTAGCTGCTCAACTTCAGCCTCAATCTCTGGATCTTGCTTATTTCGAACCTCTTCTTGTTGTACAACTCTCTGAGCACCTTCAATGGTGGTGCCAACCAGAAAAAAAAAAAAAAAAAAAAAAAGACCGCCTCCTATCTGTACCATTTTGACTAGTGGCAAAAACTGGTCTCAAAAGGGATACGTCTCGGAATAATCTTATTCCAGGCCCGCTTGGTTATGCCGCAAGGTCCGCCAACGTCCAGCCCCTGGGAGCACCTGCACCAAAATGGGTGTGGTTTGTACGACACCAACCACTGCAGCTCTTGAAACTATGCCTGCCCCGGCTGTTGAAAAGCTGAGTTGCATATTGCTTGCAATGCGTTCAACACCCATAATGACTTACGTAAGCAACAGTACCTGGACTCGGGCGCGCCATCAAGTTCTTCGTGAGACTGGACAGATCTGACCTCGTTATTAATAGTATCGATAGTGCCGTGTGGTTGTTGCCTTAGCCCTGTATTTCTCAGGGCCATGGATAATATGATACTTCTTTAAGCTTCTTTGCTATACTTCACGGCGAGTTACAAAGTATGCTATTTGATGCTTACTGTTCCCTCCACTCTTTGCTTATCCTTACTGGCACGGATAACAGTATCTTTTCACTAAATTGCAATATCGCGCCTGGAATGCCGAACTCTACCAGGGGACAGAAAAGTCGGCTTATTAGCTAGCCTCTTTCTGCCGAAGATGATCTGTCGAGTTCAGCAAGGTAACACTGATGCTGGCTGAGGGAGGCTGATAGGCTGTTCTTTGTTTGACAGGCTTGGCGGAATCGGGTCGAAGAGACTTAGCCCGAATGTTTCTCTTGAAGCAAACATGCTTCACTATGTATATAATAGAACACCACTGTGCAATGTAGTCCAGCATTGTCCCTCCAAGACTATGCGTCCTCCGCCAGCTTTCTATCATCATATACCGGAAGAGAAGCGCTAGTATTAGCCAATCACATCCACCGGGCAATTCAATCCGTCAGAGCCAACCGATATTCACCATGAACAAAGCGACATCAGAAAATCTACCCCGACGGCTGCTGCCTAAAGTCTCCCCCGGGAAAGTAGGCCACTCTCCTGTCCAGACTTCATCCAAGCGCAGCTCATTCGCGTGCACGAATTGCCGTAGAAAACACATTAAGGTTGATGTTGCGAATTAACTTACATTGATGAGGCTAACTAATTATAGTGCACTGGTCCTCCGTCCTGCGAAACCTGTGTTTATTCTGGGCGAACTTGTGTATTTGAGCCCTCCAAAGACCGACGAAGAAAAGAAGCTCTGCGATATGCTGAAAAGGCAACAGAAGGATACTGAAACGCCCTGGTGATGGTGATAAAGATATTCAAAAGCGGTGCAGATCAGGATGTCCGTGATCTGGTGGATAGGATGAAACAATCTTCTTCGATTAACGACAGTCTGGCAGAGCTGCAAGAGATGACACATTGAGGGAAGTAGGATATATGTTGACCACATGTATTTAACATTTGTCGCTGGGAGATGTTCGGCGCCTTGGAGAGTCTTCTCCGAGCAGCTGACCAGATCCGTAGCGGGTATTAAATTTATTTTTCTCCGCCCGCGCGGGTGGCTCTTCTCCTATCCCGACTTGTCCACGGAAGTCTCGAGATAATTGCTGTAGCGAAGTGTCTGACATTTGGCCCAACCACTGTGCTGATTTCGAGCCAGTGATGATATGCTTGGCGGATATCAGATCTCCAATGGTAGATACTATGAGCTGATGTGACTCATCTGATGATGTCACGTCCTCAAAGATATTTGTGCGGGCTCTGTGTGCCAGTTCGGAGGCCTCTGAACAGATATTAAGACATTGGATAATGCTTTCCCTCTCCTTCTTGATGAGATTCAGGTTTGTGAGATCCTTGGACAATATGCCCTGTTCTGATATTTGTCTCAGTTGGTTTGTCAGCTCCATCAGACGGGCCTGGAGTGCCGCTGAGTTTGATGAGACTCGTACGCTAAAGTCAGTGAGCATAGTGTTGGTCAGGTTCTGGGATTGACCGGATATATCATCGTTGCCAGGACCGAACGATACAGATGTGCTCTCATCCTGAGAAGGGAGTTGTGGAAGCTGTTTCTGGAAGTGTGCAATGACTTGCGTGACATGAGTATATATTGTCAGGTATTGCTCAGTGCTTTCCTTCTCCTCCCTTATGTCTCGTAAGTTAAAAGTATCAGACCTTTGAACAGGACCCCTGTGCTGATCGAGTGATTGCAACCTTTCCTTAATGTCTTGTAGATGCTCCTGAAGGTCAGACGTTGCTTCCTCGATCATGGTCTTATACTGGTCGATGACAGCGCTGGCAACAGTGGCTTGATGACTGAGTATATTGAGTCAGAGTCAATGGTTCATAGTCATTGTAGGGCTCATATATCTTACAATGTGGCTCCCCCGAGAGCGATAGAGATAGTTGCTTTATAACCAGCAAGCGTTGTTTTCAGGTCATTAATATTCCCACCCATGTACTGTAATTTAGCCCAGTCACGAAAGCTTGTGCGTTGGCCGTTGGAATGGGCCACGCATTTGTGAATAATGTCCCTGAACTCGCTGCATATTTTCCCACATTGCAGAAGAGGTAACTTCAAGCTGGCCAGCTCGGCTTCATTGTCCATTACTGCCGAGATTAAGGTGCCGAGGACCTGTGTCAAAGATTCCAGTTTGTACCGTAGCTCATGAACAGTTCGCTGCGCGTTTTTGAAGCCCTCGACTAGAGCATAGAGCGATTTGCTCGCTTTAAATGCGAAAGTCGCAAGCGTGATCAAGCTGGAGGCCACGGAGAGAGCATCCGCTATATTGATTTGTTCGGCCTGGAAGAGGGGATTGAAACTGATAGGTAAGACTTCAAAGAGATAATTATGTTAGAGGTTCTACCATATGTCTTGGAAGGTGTGGTTCAATCTGGAAATAATCCGCTGGCTCCTAGATTTAATCATCATCAGCGGGTCAAGCACGAGGCTCCCTGTGAATAAGCCGGGCGGCTACAGAAACGCTGCGATTGGGAGATACAAGGTTCCGTATCAAATGTAATGACTGTCCGTTTCACGTCCCATTTGCGATCACAACGGAAACCGGAGGGACAGGTATGTTGCGACCTCATCAAGCTTTTACTGCATCCCTATATCCTTCATGGGAAATAATGAAGCCGTGCCAAAGTAGAGAATTGTTACATTTGGTTTGAGCTGATGATTATATGTACGATCCGAATGCCATCGTAGCGAGAATACACATGGTAGTCCTGAGCTTCGCTACCAGCAGTCCAAGACCCCGCAATAAAATACGCAACTGTCAGTAAGAAAGTCGTCCGGAGCCGCGGCTGGAAGACGACTTATCTCATTCTCCCAGCTAGACCTCCGAAAGAGAAGGCTTAGTCTAGGTTTCGAAGTCAGGCAGCGAATTAATGACAGATTATGGTCGTTGGCGCCGTGGTTTGGCCAATCATGATGCATGATTGACACGTGCAGAAGAGGGAGTCGTTACGCGTACTGTGCCAAGCAATCCGTACGGAGACTCCGTGTATGTTGATCAACGCCTGTTGTGGCGGCTATCTTCGGTAAACAGATATTACGAGTTGAGAAACGATTAGACGGGACCTCTAAACGCTCATCGTGTGCTAAAATCACGTAGTGAACTTGATGCGAAATTCGGTGTGAGCTTTCATCAAACATAGGGGTAGCCAGGGGGAGTAACTCTTATTCTAATATGAACGTAGCCAACTTGTGGTTTTCAGTGGCTTATTGGGACTTCCACCAGTCAGACTAATGGCAAACATTGAAAGATCAGCAAATGTTTTCTGTGATAAAAAAAATATTTTCTTGAGGGGTTAAAGATCTCCCACCTTGACATTCCAGAGCGATGACTCATTGCTTTATCACGTAATCTCGTAGGGGGATCGTAATCTATGGTTCGATGAAACCGCAACCGCAACCAGTAGCTTTCCCTTTCAAATGTCTATGAACATGACATGGCAGAACTAGCGGAAACGTTTTAGTGCACTTTCGAATGATTTGAGCAGCGCTGATAAGCTTCCGGGCCGCTTGCACCCTGGCACGCTGCTATCAGTAATGGAGCTTCAGCCTGTTCGATACATGCAACTCCATCATCCTTCATCACCAAAACGAAGGGGCGCGATTAGAAGTCTGGAAATCTTCTATGCACATTTCCGCGCATAATTTCCCATGAAGATCAACATCGGTACATGTCGGGAAATCAGTTTCGCGCCTTTGCCTCCCGCATTCTCTCTTGCATAGCGTTCTAACAGTATATTTTTCGCCCTTCCCAATTATCGAGCCATCTTACTTAAGTAGAAGGCACCTGGCTACTAACCTAACAGTCCATGTCATTTAAGGCTAGCTATAGTTATCAGATGAGATATCTCAACGTACTCCACAATGCTTGAAATTGGAGGTTGGGACGTGTGCCCTTTGTTGCAGATTGTACTTGTTTTCGCTGGTACATAATCATGTGAAGCAAGTGCCTGCTCAGTGCTCAGAGCGGCTTAGCTAAATTTCGATCGGGCTCGTATCTTTCAGCATATTGGCCGAGAATACTGTTACTTGGGACTCGAAGGTCATAACGTAATTCACCATCGCGCGGCGCATCTTGTAATGCTATATTGAAAGCTACCTTTTTATTACTATAATATATCTCAACAACAATAAGACTTCAGCTCTGTGTCTGGAAATCAAAACTTTTAGAGAAAAATTTATTATCTAAGATACTTTCTCTTTTGTCAAAATTAACTGATTAGTATAATTTTCCAATTAAACAGGTAATTTATATTACCGGCTTATTCGAGTAGGTAGAAGTTTTTTTTTAAAAAAAAAGTATACGTGGTGACACCACTCTTACAGAACGAATCGTACCTTTAGATTTTCAAGAGTGAGCGAACACCATCCACGCGGCGAAGCAGACGTACCTTCCACACTAAGTACATCGTATATGATCTATTCATATTAAAACCCACCATGTCCATTCAGGCGGTAGTCTCGAGCTTGTTTAGGCGACCGGAACGATCGTCCACAATCGGTGCACCAGCTATGTCTAGCGGCATTGCTGCCGAAGGCTGGTTCTGCTGTCGAAAGTCCTCGTGCAGAGCCCGCACTAGAAATGATTGAGTGTTTGACGCACAAATGAAAGAGGAACAGAGCGAGAGACACTCTGACTAACGATCCGAATATCACTGATTAGTCAGATGACATTCTGGGCAAAAGCGCCCTACCATGGTCTCTTCTCCATTTCGACAAGTCTTTCTGTCAAAGCAGTAGATACCTCGTACTCAAACTCTGAATGATCCTTTCGGACTTCATCGGATTGACGAGGTCCCTTGAGCGTACCGAGATGTGGAAGGGCGAATCTTATAAGGATTTCTTGTAGGTCTGATCTTGGCGGACACTGGGACCCATAGACATCACTGGTAATTGCGAGAGATCCGCAGTCGTCCCAGTCCTTTCTCATGTTGGAGTCCAACTTCTTTTTGGATGTATGTTTAATCCTCTGATCAAGTATTTGTCTGCCACAATGTGGATTTGCACGTTGATGTGCGCACGCCTCCACTGCCATGATAGAACGTCTTAGGCGATACGCTCCGTTGGTGATATTCCCTCTTGGATCACAGAATCATCCTCCGCAGCAGTATCACTTTTCCCAGCGGGATCATCCGTAATCCCTGGTGAGTCATCATAGCTGCACGGTAAAGGAGATCAAACTTTCTTGAAACAATGAAGGGTCATCGGGAATGTATACGACGCGCGGTTTAGCTTCTTATGTGGAAGTTAACGGTCAATCTCTGGGTGTCACCGCTGATACAGTATTTTTAAAAGTACCATTTGCAGCCTTGTCGAAAGACGGTGACTGTGGGCATACAATGCAACGATGAATGTGGAAGCTTGATGATGGGTATCTGACTAAGAGAATACTTGTACCCCCGGATATTGCTTCCATCTGGGCGACCGTCGAGATCCTTGCGCGGTTATATGTACCTTGGTAGTAGTAGTGCTGTCACCTAATGCACGATGGGTTTGAGATTAAACAGATGTACGCAATGGCATGGCGGAACTCGACAGCATTGGATTTTATCTTCACGGCGGCATAGCATGACATTTCCCAAGCAAACGACGGCTGACCCAGCTCGGGGTATTATATCAATATCCAGCAATCGTTTATAGGATTACCGCCACAAGGTCTCCGAGCCGGCAGCATTTCACTACAAGCCACCTCAAATTACGGGGAAAAAATTATAAAACAGAAAAAGAGAGAGAAAGAGAAGGAGAGAGTAAGAAACGAAAACAACAAAAGAATCTCCACCGAAAGGCAAAGCCAGTCAAGGTTCCGCTTCTATAAGATACTCTGCAACCTTATCGTTACTGTCACGAAGTATACCCACAATAATTGAAACAGACATGGGATAATCCCTTCAAGCTAACACATAGGTGTTAAGGATCCCTCAGCACCCCGTCAAATCCCACCTAGTTCTTCCCACTAGGAGGGGTATAAGTCGAGCCACCACTGCCGTTATTGTAATAAGTGCTCCCATCGGGGTTGGAATAATAGTAGGATCCGTTACTGGAGGAAGAAATCTATTAGAATTGATTTGGCAAATTCCAGGTCGGAGTAGAAGAATAGTAATGAGGAGGTGGAATGTAATGGGATGACATTACTGACCTGTTTGAATAGTGGTAGGAGTTTGGATTAGAGCTGCTAGAGTAGTCGCGGGAGCACCAGTGGTTTCCCTTTGGACATCAGACCTTTAGCTAAGGTTTTGGATCTACAATATGGGGTGGTACTTGCCTGACTGTTAGTGCCGGAGCCCTTGTAGCTGAAGTCTTTCCCAGACCTGGGCATGGTTACGATTTGATCACTGATGAAGTATTGAAGGGGTTGGTTGATTTAGTGGGTATTTTAGAAGCTAGAAGATGCGGGCTGGTGGTGGTCCTGGGGGAAGAGTGAGATATGAGAGTGAAAGATGAGGGTCGGGCGATCCAAAGTGAGGGGTAAGGCAGCAACGTACCCTTGGTCCCGGTTGGTTCCATTGATCATGCAGGTGGATTTTTGACACTTTCAACGTATTTATGCACTCGAATGGATTTATAATACTATAATCGTCTTATTACATATTAGTTATCGACATATGTTTCTCTTGATACGGATGTAAGGAGAGGTTGCTCTATGGACCTACGCTATGGAAGGGACAAATCGCAACAGAATTTTGCTAGATTTCCTGTTCTGAAGATGGGAAGCAGTGGTGTAAGATATACGTTACAAGGTTTGGACCAATCCAAGAAAGCAAACAGCAATGCCCAAATTAATAAGAATTCTCGTGACATGTACTGTCTCTAGGACTTCAGTAACCGGTATATCAAAACTGCTGCAATAATATGAACAGGATCAGTAGTTGATCTTGACATAGTGTTGATTTTAAAGAGCTGTACCAACGTAACATGTTCAAATTTCATACAACAGAAATATGAAACATGTAGCGCTCAGTCAACAAGATAGTCTTTACTTGAGGAAAGGAGCTCTTGCCAACGCATCTGCCTGGATACCCCAAATATGCTTTCCTAGAACGGCTAATCTAGAGCCAAAGTTCTTCAAAACGAGATCAATGTCCGGAACATTGTGTTGAAGCGCTTGACTATACATATCGTCCGTCCCGAACGTTGCAATTTCCCACATCCTCTTCCACCCTTGGATTGCCACGGCTGCATCCGGACAATCATTCCGGATATTGGTTGCAAGCATGTAGAACGAAGATCGCTTGGCATGAAACCTGGGATGCTTGTACAGTTGCACTGAGGCAAAAGTTGTAAATATATATAGTAATTGTACGGTATGTGGAGACTCGACTTTGTGAAGAAGAACGATCATCGTTCCCCCCAGCTTGACATGCTCCAATCCAAGCGACAGCTGTGTCAGGGTCAGCCTGCTGGCTTCTCGATGTTCACGGTAGGTGGCCCTGTCGTGGTTTCTTAGCACCTGACCATCACATATGACTAGGTCAAATGCCTGTCCAGGCTCAAATTGACGGGGTAAGAATTTCCCTGTATCTGGGTGATCGTTCGGGATTTCCAACAGGCCCATATCCGCAGCCAACAGGGTGATGTCAATGAACTTCACCGAAATATTAGGATGCTTAGGTAGAAGGACATTGTGACCTCCTTCACACCTTGGTAAGCTGAATCCTATAGCTCGGGCTTTGGGATTAACCCGCAATGCTGTTCCAAGAAAGCCTCCCGGTGCCATGCACATATCAAGGATACGTTGTTTGTCCAGATAAGGGCTATGGATCCGGAAAACATCCGTAAGCTGTTGCATGTCATCTCCTATTTCTTTCATCATTCTGAAGAAATGCTTGGCTGTTTTCTTATCAGCATTGTCTGCTGTTTGACGCTGCTGTTCGAAGAACCGATCACCCGCCGGATTTTCCCAACCCTATTTTACTGGTCAACTCAAGGTCCTAGAAATGGCCGGCTTAACCTGACCTTATGCCGAAGCTCGGATAGTCGCTGAAACTCCGGCACCTCATTTAGCAGGTATTGTGCTATGATCTTAGCGGGACTTTGGCTCTCGCTAGCCTGGGAGGTAGTTTCCTCGTGATGGGGAACGGTACTCTGAGATGCGCCATGTGCGGCAGAGACATGCTCATACGCCTGGCACCGTTTATTCTCTGTTGTTGGAGACATTTCGTGCAAGGAGGCGGTATGTACTATAGAAGAAGAAGGAACAAATCTGTACGTAATGGTTATGGGGTATTGACTATATTTAAATGTAAGCCGGGCTGATATTGTTGAATATTAACAGCCGATAACCGATCACGACGAAGATCGTTCTCTCGGACGATGTATTGACGTGGCGTTGACAGGCATTTTGGTGTTTATTCAGTTCCAATCAGGCCTCGAGGCAGCCCACCGCAGCGGACGCAGCTAATGCAATAGACTAGATCGTGAGGCCACTATAACCCACGGTATGGAATGCAGGTATGGAGCATATGACTAATGAGAAGGACACAGGGCGGAAAGAAGGGCGCGATAGCCAATAGCGCAGGCCGAGGTGGTATCCAGATGTTCTGCCGGCGGCAACCAGCAGACACACCCTATTGTCAGGCAGCCATACGTGATAATGACTCCGAAGTGTTTGTGGGATAGTATATAGTACGTAGACTAGTGCAGTACGAGAGTGAATGTACAAGGCAACGTATTGGAATAGAATCTCCAGTAACTAACCTGGCAAAGAAAGATTATCCATGTAACCATACAAGCCGTATTGATGGGGCTTAGCACTAAAAACAGCAGAGACTAGGAGACGATCTAAAACTGTGTTGTCGGCCAGCCTTATGACGAAATGGTTAGAAAAAGGGCAAGAAGTGTAAGACGACTTTCTTCACTCCTCAACATGTACAAAACCTCATTTCCTTATCCTGGTGTTCTCAGAAGTTTTTTTTTTCCGTCTTGGGACTGTGACCGCCCGAGTCAGACTCAGCTACCCTGCAATAACGATCGAGTCAAATGGACAACATAATTCAAAGCTTGTTCTAGAATAAAAGTCATACTCATCAATACCAGAGAACAGCGAGTGTCTGCTAGCATGTTAGAAAATTAATGTGAAAGTTGGCAGGTATAGCTGATTGCAAACCCGTCTAGATGCAGAAACGCAGACCGGTAGCAGTGGCGTAGTCAACTGAACAGGTGAGATTATAATATCTGAGTTTTTATGGTTCTTGAAATATACTGATCTCATTCGAAATAATACTTGTGCGTACATTTGAGCGTGGAAGAAGGCATGACAACTTCGAAAAATTTGTGGTATTGGTATTGGTTTTTCGAGATGGGTTTCGATATTGTTCAGTGTCTGTGTCTAAATCATTTTCTGCCCATGCTTGGGGCGAACTTTTAGAACTATTGTTCGAGTTCAAGTGGGCTTGGGTAATTGGAGTACCGTCATAAGTATAGTCACCTGTATACAAGAATTTAAGTGTCTTTTCAATGAGCATAGGATGGCAATCCTCAATGATGATCTCACCGTTGCTTTTATAAGTATTCAAATCAATTCCATAATTGCACCTGAAAAGAACTGGAGAATCTTACCTTAAAGTGACTACTAAAGCATTTTAAAAATGCTCTGATTAGGGACAGAGCATGTTCCGATGGGCTGGAAAGATTTGGTCACCACATTTGATGGATTAATCGCTGTACTTCGGATTGAGAAATTGACTGATTAGATGACAGTAGTTATACGAGATAAGATTACTAACCGTAGTAAGGACCAGGTCTTTCATCTTTCTGATAGTTCGTTCGTTTGCAGAAACCGGCTCGGTAGGCACAACAGCTATATCAACAGCTGTAGATACTGCCGACTGTCTTTTCTTTTTCCCTCCTTTCCTCATCAAAAGCTCATAAATATCTTCAGACAGGAGACGCTGTGCCCTATATCAAATAAAAGAAAGGGTTATCATAGCCGCTATTTACGAACAAGCCAATGCGACCTGCTGTGAGGGAGTCAGGGATTGATTTGGTCATCAGCTTCTTGTTGGTACTATGCTTTGCCCGGTGGGATGGCATCTGTAGCCTCGCATGACGTGGCCATGCAACAGCCATCGCCATCAAAATGTGCAAATAGTAATGGCGTAGTAAGGTCAGAAAAGCCATGGAATAGTACCCGGTTGCTTTACAAATCCGACCCCGAATCCGCTCAGGATCCATGGTATGGCTGCTCTATTGGGGCATGAAGCCTGTTGCAGCATTCATGACAAGAAGAGAGTGGAATTCTCAATGTTCTCTAGGTTATAATAAGTTGGTTGCCAGCTGGGTTTCCTTGCGAGGAAAGGCTATTTATTTCGTGGCTATTGCGGGTAATCCCAAGCTGACCGGCTGCGTGTGTCACCACACCAATCGCCCATTTTTCTTTCTTAACTGGTCGCTCCATGCCGGCTACACGTAACCTTATTTGCAGGGATGGTACAGTACTTGTGAGAACTATCCTTTGCGTTTCTTGGCCAACTGCACGCAATCATAGTATTTGGATTTGATCGACACTTTGATGTTTAGTAGTCACCAAGGTGGAGAATTCACTGTTGAATTTAGGGCTCGAGGTGTAGTATGTCAGTCATATGAGAAATTATACCTCAGAACTATGCTGCTTCTTCAAGGGACATTCCCCAGCTATCCGGATACACTGAGAATGTATGTCTATGCTTGATCCCTCGCATCAGCAGCCGACAGTTTCCAGTACCACAACGAAACCGGCTCATTTTAAGCAGTCCGAGGCAGCCATGGCAGTTGTGCAAGGTAGAGGTTTATGGTCTGTGCAGTGATTGCTGGCCCTCCAAGGTTGAAGGGATCCCAGCAGCGTCGCCTTTCTCATCTCCATTTGACAAGAAAGGTCTGTTAGTGCTTTTCTACCCCTCAGGCCCCACTTGCCTGCAGTCTTCTTTTGTCCGCAGTCCTCTCATAAATATGGCTAGATAGCGTAACAATTGGAGGGTAGATGAGATAGCCTATGCAATAAGCGAGAGTAACACCATTATAGAAGAAGATGCAGTCAAAAGTGTTGCCTAAACAAGGGACTTCTAGGCTACGATTTCATTGTCTTTAGTAAGTCAAATCGAGCTGTTCTACTGGCTGCGAGGTCCGGAACAAGCTTCGAGAAGTTCAATCCCACTACATCGGCGACCGGGCTTTTTCCGTGCGGGGCAAGCGTTCTGTCATACTGTTGTTGCGGAGTTATCGGCTAGACATTGCCCCTCCTCTAATAGGAGAAGGTTCTACTTGGTGATTGTCGCAATCATGCCAATAATTAACAGAACAAATACTTTAATGCGCTGCATGGCCTTGGATAATAGAGCCCGACATATCCGGGCGCTCCGATTAGACGTGCTGGGCCAGTGATCCACGGAAACTATTTTCATTTAAACTGCTGGAGTACTCGGCCAAGTTAGTAGGGTCAAAGCACCGCCAGGATAAGCAACACATTGCACAACCCCTTCTTTTATTTGCTGAGCTGTAAGTCCCATAAGTCAAACATGTATTAATCTTTCCAACCCGACTGCCTCACTCTAATTTTGGTCAGATATAAGTAGTTTCCAGCAGATCAAAAGCAGAATACTTTCGAGAATCTTATAACCTGCAACCCTGTAAGCAAGAGTGCGCAGATACACAGTGACAGTACCACAGATGTAGTAACCATACAGATCATGCCACAACAACACTACCTATGGCTTTCTATCAAATGGGCAGTTCAGTCGCCAAACTACTTTCCACTTGAGAGCTGGTAGCATCAAAGAGCTGAACACCAACTATGACAGAGAATAAACAGGGTCCGCGGCTCACTATAAGAACCAAGGTCGCAAACTGCTCAAAGCATGGATTTTGAAAATGATGTACTATCACCGGTTCACTCTGTTATCTTAGCAAGGGAACCAATCAAAACTTTACTGTCAGCAATGCCTTCCGCAACTATAACCGTCTTATCCGTGAAGTCCGAGGCCGAGGCCCAGGCCCCTGATGTTCAGGCATTTTTAGGCTTCTTTGCCCAATTCAAGGAATTATCTCCCACAGTGGGCTTCAATATGATTCTGACAGTCCACAACAAAAACATGGCACTGCGGAGTCATCTGAAGTCCAAAGAAGAGCAAGTCATCGACCTTGAGAAGAAGATAAGAGACTGTGATTTGAAGAAGGAGACAGCCATCAACGAAATATTCCTGATAAATAAGAAAGAAAGGCAGCGCCATCAAGATACCCAAAGTCATGCGCAAGAGCTTCAAAAGACCCTGCAAGAGAAAGACAACCTTGTCAATGCATAAAATGCAGCCCTGGACACCAAAGAAACACAGATAAGAAAAGCAAAGGCCAAGTTCAGAAAACAAACGGAGGTTTTAGTGCAGGCGCAACAGGACATCAGTGCCCTACAGGGTAATCTCAAGGCAAAGAATACTATCATCGACCAACTAAAGGCAGCAGAATTGGGATTAAAACATAGCCTTTCTACTACTAAAGAGAATGCAAAGGCACTTGAGGAGAAGAATTCGAACCTTTAATAACTACTGGATGACACTCGTGCCAGACTCAACACGATTGAAGAATTTGCCTCTGGGTTTTATGAAGGGGACAAGGGCTCCCTGTAAGTAATACCTGGAAACACAGTAGAAGCTATACTATACTAATAGCTTACAGGATAAATGATTTCACTGGTCTGTGGCAGTTCACTAAGACAGAGCTGTACTCCCAGTTCAATGTCAACTTCACTACAGAAACTATCTCGGTACGTATTAGCAGCAAGATATCAATTATGGCTGACTGATCTATTTCCTCAGAACGGCTCAGCGTGGACCAATCTAAAACACTGCAATCTTGTCCATAATTACCACATTCCCCTACCTTGTTCGAATACCCCGCCAGCGAAACAAATCCGCTTAGCAATTATTCTTGCTATCCTCGCGAGGGAGATCAACAAATATATCTTCCAGCCATGCTACATCATCCCTGAAGATACCTGTATTCGGAAAATTCTTAGTGATCTTGCCATGACTGACAGTGAGAAGAAATCATTTTACTGGTCTGTCCTGCAGTCAATTAATACGCAAGCCCAAGAAAAAGCTCTTTCATCGACTATCCAGGCTGTCGTCGGTCGCGTGCTGTCATACTTTGACAATTTACTGACAGAGGCACAACATATGTCAATGCGCTCTAGTTTGGAAAAGATCGTGCGGAAAGCCGCAGGAGTTTAGCAACCCATACAACATGCCAAGCGAAGATATGAGCCAGATTTCAAACAGCCAGGACCCGACGAGTATTGGCTTCCCTTTACTTTGGACGAGAACAGCCGACCGGAGGCACAAACTGCACAAGCACCCAGGATGAGAATGCTCTAACCATATTTCCACGCCTTTCAGTCATAGAGAACAATCGCATGACATTACACACCGTTGTAATCCAGCTTAACAGATCATCACCTCTCTTCTGCGCAGCGTCCAGTGAATTACCAAAGGCGACATCCAATTCTAGCGTGGTTCGAGTCATGGCAAAGACTTTACGGGGCAAATCTGCCAACTCCAAAGGTGCAAACCAGTCAGACAGACACTCAAATGGTACTAGAAAGGCATGTAGAAAATGATGAATGATAGTTACAGCAATACAGGATGCTAGTTTTATAGGCCCGCATTCGAAATTCAACTCCTTTATTTTGTCACCTTAACGCTACCTTAGACTACTTTAAAAATGTCCCTTTAACCTTATGCTTATTGCGCTAGTTCATAACCGGTTAATGACAAAGACTCTTGGCATATAGTGTGAAACTATGTGATTTCGAGCAAGACTTACAGTAATGATCACAACACATGTTATATCCCTCTTTCTCAATTCATGAGGGAACAATCTGTAGAGCTGAGGCTCTAGATTTATCCCAGCCACACAGACTATGCTGCGATTCTGAAAACAAGGAGCAAAGAGATAAGACACATGAATCGTTTGATAATGTTGAGTCGAATATTGAGGGGCAGCCGTGGTGCGTTATTCCCAAAATAGTTACATCAGGCGCCACAAGAACTCTTCAAAAGCACCAAGTAAACCGTACTTTGGACCATTGAGACTATCTAGGTGCTCGCAAAAATCCTGAGCGAGCGTTGCTTAACATCACTGCGGGTGTAGTAGGGCACCACAGGAACACGAGCCCCAATGTAGGAATATTTTCATAGAAAAAGCTCAGTAGGAAATCAGGCATACAGAATGCTTTTCACAGGGAACCCAACGCTGGATATCGCCACGAAGACGGGATTTGTGCACGGATGACTGTCACCACATACTATTATCTGCAGCAAGGAGGTATAGTGACTCACACCCTAGTAGTGGAGCGTATTGATCGAGTTGGGAAGATCCAATTACTCCTCAGTGCAGAGCTCTGGTAGGGCGTTGGTGAGAAAGTTCTTCAGTACCAGTTCGAAGATGCATGAGAATGTTAAGGAAAATAATTTGTACACAGTATCACAGGACAAGTTGTACTGACATGACTATAGAATACAGAATACGGGACGTTTACTATCGACAGCACATGCAGGGTGATGTGTCTGTCACACCTGCCGTCCCTATTATGCTGTTACCCCGCATATGCCTGTTGGTCTAAACCCTGGATCGCGTTGGCTACCATGGGATGTTATCATTCAAGAGCGGGGCCGGACACGTGGCAGGTTACTAGATGGCCTTTTACCGCCTCGCAGGTTCAAGCCTCGCATTCCCTTCTTAAAAGAACTGCTTTGGAAGCTGGGTGTCTGACCATATGAGCACCGCTGTTTCCTTACCCTGCCTTGATACTTACGTACAACTCCTGCATTGCTATACCCATTCGACAATGACTTCCATCAAGATAGCGAGTATCTCTCGCGTGGATCTTAAGGGCTTCGAAGAAATTACACCATCGATCACAGATGTCAAGCACCTGTCATCCTATAACTGGATAGATTCTGAGACTCCTACTATTGCCATCCCGGGCTGCCCACCGTTATGGTCACCACCGAAAGGTACCCGAAAGGTACCAAAAGATTCTGGGTGTATTTATATAGCTCAAAATGCAGCTCGACACCCAGAAAGCCCTCTGGAACCTCTGTTCCGTGCTCTATACACAACTCATCCTTCGTTCGATATTGGTGCCGTTGATCTCATAACAGATAGAAATAACATCCGCAAGCTCCTATCCTTTATCAATCCTAGTCTATCAAAGAATGGGCGTGAGCCTTTCACCATCGAGGTGGAAGTCACAGGCAAGACGGCGGTCTTTTGTCGCGCAGAGACCGAGACAGTTAGATTCCTCGGACCCAGAGACTTTGCGGGCTTTGGTCATGAGTTTGAAAAGGCATACACCCGAGACCAAGTCAATGGAAGTACTGGCCACCATAGGATCATCAGTTACTCTTTTGGTGGGCTCAGGCTTATCGTTCGCTATGAAACGGATGGATACATTGGTCCGTTGTCGGGTTCCCCTGTTGTCGGCATGGATCAGGTCGATCTATCCAGCATGATCCAGTCGCTATCTCTTTGTCCCTCCAAATGTGTCCCCTGTGGCACTTCGGGACAGTCTAAGTTGCTGCTCAGGCATGAGGGTCGAACTGTAGCAGCTGACTCGATACTTGAGATCAAAACGCGTGTGGCTCATAAATCGATCAGCGTACAGGAGGTCCTTCCCCAGCTATGGGCATCGCAGACCCCGAAGCTAGTACGCGCATACCATAAAAACGGGGTGTTTGCACCACCAAAAGTGGAACACGTGGTAGCTGAGATGAAGGAATGGGAAGAATGTCATCGAGAAGACCTGAGGAGACTGAGTTCACTGTTAAAGAAGTTAATTGACATAGTAAAGAGAAGCGGGGGTAAGGCTGCTGCGCGATATGATCACCAGAAGGATAGGTTAGAGATCTGGACAGCTGCTACGGTGAAAATGCTACCGGATGACCTCTACACCAAACTGGCATTATAGTGACGCATTATGGTGACGCAGAAGATGTACCCTATGAAAGATCGCCAGCCGGACCAGGCCTCTCGAAAACCATACTGAAGATCGGTAATACTCTACAATATTGACCTTTCAATGATCCCTTACCTAACGTCATTCGTCAGGTTTGAACGCAATCGTCAGCCACAGGGATCAGAGTTCACTCACGGTAATAGCCCTCTCTTCGATGCCGCACAACAAGAGCTTGAGTCATGCTACCGTTTCTGTTTTCAGTCTCTGCTGGTTGACTTAGCTCAGTATCACACTCTCTGCGAGACCTATGACTTTCTCGGAGTTGATGGACTGGGCAGTCAGACCATCGACCATGTTTTCGTTGACCTTCGGGCCTGGAAAACAGACTACGAGCTTGAATATAAGCGTTACCGCGCTATCAATGGTGATAAGACCTTAGCACGAGATGCAGCGTTCCGACTTTTCTTTCTGATACTTGCAGGCGAGCTTGGGGACGAGGCAAATGACAGTGCGAAAGCCTACAATGCGGTGCTATTTATTGTGCCCCATCCAGGTACTTTTAAATATCGCACCAGAACAATACTGCGTGCGGATGAGGGTTTTGACTGAGTTGGCGCTTCAATGGAAGTAATGAATGGATTGTTTCATTTACTGAGTAGACGTGTAGACAGACACGATCGCGTAGATGAATGCCGGCATGGGTGAATGGATGGATTGTGTGTTGTACTTTTCATCGCTTGGTATCTGGCAGCTCTTGTGTAATTAATACATTTATACATGTACCACACCGTGTCAGCCGTTTGCAAGCATTACATACCACCAACATTTTCTCCTACAGCAACTGAGGCCAAGGCTCGTCTGTCCATTTCGGCGTGTCTGGCTGATATCTCCCATCTGATGATGATATTAGAATAACATACTAGTCCACGGCCGGACCAGCCACCCTGCAGTACTATATAGAAGTCAAAGTTTTCTGACTGAAGAATATCTCAACCACCAAAGGATTATGGAGGCTGAGATGAAGTATAGAGATTATATATAGATTATATAGATAATAGATGCTATTGGCAGTATCTTTTGTTGTTTTTCAGCTACTATAACAGTATGTGTAATGTTCAGAAACTTCTGTAAAAATTCTCATTCTCATGAATATTTTAGTATCTAGTATATCCGTATGCTACACTAAAATAGTAACTATTATATTGACTGAGACATCTCAGTCAGAAAGGATGCCTTTTGTATGGTACAACATGGGTGGCCGAGCCGGGCGGGTGGCCAGCCCGTTCTTCAACTACGTTACAACCTTTAGTCACTATTTGAATGAACCATGAAGGAGGCAAATTGAAAGCGGGTACTACCATGGATAATGGTTCCTACGAAGGGAGGATTTAATAAGTAAGTTGTTCTGGCTGTATTAGGATCTGCCACCATTCTTTCCACCGCACACTGGCTAATTAGAGACTCCACTCCACCACCTAGTTGTCCGAAGCAGCTGGAAACATCTTTTAAGCAGTAAGGATGTCATTATATCGAATCGACCCTTTTGATCCCCAGGCGGAATCCAGCACCTGTCAGAGCCGTGTAGGTCGCCTTGCACACCGTGCAAATCTTTGGGAATGTGACCGATGACGTGCTGGCCGCAATGGCTTTATCTTCAGTTTCGCACATTTTGTCCTTTCGAGATGAAGAGTGGATCGGCTTGCACCGAGCTTCGCGTGATGATCCATACTGTTTCATTCGACTCTAAGATACACTGGAGCCATTTTCGTTGTTTGGTAATAAATCATAACACTTCTTTGATGACGAGGGCATGGACTATTTATGAACAATGTCTGAAAGAAACATAATAACATATGCGTTCCGTAGGCCGTGACGATGAATACGGACAATTCTCCGACTGAAGACCTCTTGCTCCCCCCCTTGGAGTGGAGTAAAGGTATGCTCTGATTGCTTTCGGGAAGAATAAGTGCACCTCTCCGCAGGTTTATTGGGTGAGATTGAGTTGCCCGTGACCTTCCTCGCCTGGGGCGACAGCCGGCGCTTTTTACATGGGCGGCCACCTTCCTCACGTTCGGATGCGCTTAACGACGGAGCTGTGTCTTGACTACGACGACGGCCCATCTTGGTTGACGGTTCCCTAACAGTTCCTCTCACTGACCTATCTGATCGACGAACCGGAATAACAGCGGCAACAGAAGTAGGCTTGTCTGGCCTGACGGCTTTCACATTCAGTCGATGGCGAAGCGTCCGTTTGTCTATTGAGTTTATCCTTGGATGTCTGGCAGGTCGCAGTTGCCGTTGCTGGCCGGGACTGGAGGTCGGAGGTACCTGATTCTTATCGGGACCTCCTTGGATGTTCTGCGTAGTGATTGCTCCAACTCCTGGATCGCGCGCTTGGTCTCCTCGGGCTGCTGCTTCGGTACCGGTGTCTTCGATGGCCATTTTATTGTATTGATTGGTTACAGCAGGAGAAAATAATGCGTGGGTATGGTGCATTATTCAGTAAGCCAAGTGAAAGTGACTGAGAGGTGTACGAACTAGGGGTGCCGGCTCCTGGCGGTGTAGTCTTGTCAGTCTCTGTGCATGTGACTGATGACAGGACACTTCCTTGGCGGAAATCTGCACTGTCGGTTATGACAACCAATGGAACTTCAACACATTGGGGAAATGGGCAAAGAGAGAGTAAGGGGTAATGAGTCATGCTTACCTGAATCATCCAGGTCTGGTGGTGTGAGTGATAATCTTGAATAATAGACAGCCGCTCCTGGCGATTGTGTCTGTTGATTGGATTATTTCTGTAAGATATGCTGTTTAATGGCAGGTTCAGACATAGCTCTCTTTCCACCATCAACGCCCGCCAGCGGTTGCAACGACTCCAAGCTCACTGAGTGTGGTTTGGTACATAGTATTAGCCGACTCCAAGGAAGGTGCGCTCATCGTATAATCTACTTATCAAGAGTCAAATGCAGGCCCTGACGTTGGGGTACATCTGAAGTGTTTTCACCTGGGAGCCTACAATCACAGTGTATTTCCAGATTTGTCTTACTCACAATTGTATTTTTTCCCGCTATAGATACTTTTTTGAGTTCGATATCAAGCGCATTGCGAAATGCTGATCCTGCTGAAGTCTCATCTTTCTTTGTAGGATTTCGGGATTGCTGGATAGCAGTTGGCTGTTTACCCGAGATTAGGATGTTTGTTATAGGGATAGGGGGCTTGGGTGGAAGAGGGTGTGAAAGGCTATGTGGAGCTGGAGGAGCCTTGTACAATTTCCAATGGGAAGCAGATACAGTAGTTTGTGATGTTTGGGGGGGATGGTAGAAGCTGATATTATCAAGGTCAATAGGCATGATTTTGAGGATTATCAAAAGCTTTATTGATTGGTGAGGGCAGAAGGAAGAGAGAAGAGATAGGTTTAATGTGAAATTGAAGTGTCCTGACTCATTGTCTGAAGCCCAGAGACGAGGGAAGCATCTATATAAAAAATGACCTAGCGGATGAACACATTTGTACATCACCGATTATTTCTGATATTCATGTAAGCATTTTATTAGCCAGCCAGTACTTGAATCTCATCATCGCCATACAGAACCCCCACTGTAATCATTTCAGGACCGAGAACCTGTATAATACATCAGCGCAGATATGTATAGTAATACCCAGGGACTTCGCAATTATGGGTACAGATGAGCAGGGCATGATCTTATTAAAGAACAAGCATCTAATCTACTCTATGATCCCAGCTAAAGACACTGACCGACTTTGCTCTAAAAGGCATGTTGCGGATGCTCTGAAAGTTCTTCTGAAGACCATATAATAGTGTTTTGGTGTTGTAATATCCTCATATTCAACTTGGGCTCCTTTGTAGAGTAGAAGTGGCTCTCTTCTAATGGATCAGAGATAATTAATCACACGGCATTGATGTAATCTGCATCACGTACTCCAGCTAACCATTTGAATTCTCTAGTGAGGAGGTTTCTGAATAGCTGGAGGGCTGAATGGAACTGCAATACCAACTGGATTATCGTGGTAGGTCTGAGGCAGTCATATGATACCCATTCTACAGTCAGTCCGAAGTTGGTTTTTAGCTGAGTAATGTAACAGGCAACTCGTCCCGCTGTCAATGATAAAATGGGCTACATGAGGTATTTCTGCTATTGGTACTCGGGATTCATGAATAGATTAGAAAGTTACATGTCGACATACTATTGGTGGTATCGTGGTCTTATATAAATAATAAGAACCGGATCTTGAGGATGCCTAACTGGGAAGAATAGTAGGCCGTAAATAAGGCATTAATTTGCTAGGTACACTAATATAAATCCTTCCAGGGGCTATCAACTCAGGCAGATAAATGGTGTATAGTGATTGTCAGGTATCCTCCAGTAGATGCTTAGCGATTCCAGCGGCCGAGTTGAGGATGGGGAATAAAGGGGACTGTGAGCTTATTTCTGCAGTGGCAGGCCCGGAGCAGTGGTATCAGAGCAGGGTAAATGGCTTTAAGTGAGCTGGGCACGCGAGTGCAATATTGGACGTGGGAGGGAGAAGTTGTTGAGCAATGTACTCGCGGTCTTATATAGTTGCTAGAGGGCCGTGAAGGTGGACCCGGGTGGCAGTACCTATTCAGGTATGGCGCGGTCCATTAAGCCTAAGATGGTTAGTACTAACCCACAACAGGCAGCCAGCGTACGGGCACTAAACCCGAACCAGGCAGTTGCCGAAAACGGCGGCGCCCTGATAAATTTGAATTGTCCGAATAAGTGTGTAGGACGATATCATGGCATCCCTGGTGTCTAATATCATGTTACCGCACCTTCTCTATTTGGCTACGTGTATCTACTAGAATGCTGCAATATTCTTTGAATAGTGCTATGCTATTAATCACACCTGTTCTTGCTTTTACCAGAACTTCCTGTGTAGCATGCTATACATGAACATCCTCTTGAATTTTACAGGTTTTCTTAAATCCTAATAGCTGGTTTTTCCTCCTTTGCATTCCATTATATCTAAACTCAGTAATTTAAGTGTGGGTAGCTAGGACTAAATTCTTGGAACTTTTTTTTTTGAAGACTATATCAGCTCTATATATCAAGCTCGAGTATTATGTCTGTATGCTGCGTCACAACCAGTAAATACTGTTTTTTGTACTATGCCTTATTTTTACGGTATATCCATACACCTCGTATTGCACCAGTGTAAAGTCTCTAATACTAACAGGGCCTGTTAATACCAGACAAAAGTAAGCATCTATATGAGACTTGTATACTTTCACCGCGAAGACCGCAATTTCAACTTTTTGTAGGCAATACTGCAATATGTTAGAATGTCTCATAAATTACGCTACAAGAAGTATACTTATGGTCTTCCAGAATGATGATAAAATCTGATGTTGTCCGAGTAAGGGTACGTACCAGATTCTTCAATGATGATCATTATTTCCAGCTGTTCATCCCGTCCGTAGCTGCCGGAACCAACGACTTTGCAATGCTGTTAATTTTCGTTGCGGGAAAAAGAGCTCCATTTCCTTCCAAGATAACCCATAGTCTTTGAGTATGACAATGAGCTGATCTTCTATCTTTGTGAATCTTCCTCCTGTCTTTGGGTAACCCAGGTCAAGGCCAGAGGAACTAGTCATATCCGCCCTTATGTGAGATTCGTCAAACTCAGGATGATGAGGATTTCGTGTCTTGCATCCTGAGTATAGTGTAGAAGGGTGAAATGTCAAGATATCATTGTAATTTCCCGGTAATATCTCGAGATAGCCACATACCGGTACCCTTCCCCGAGAGCAGGATTCTGGGCTTAGAAGGTCGGGCCAACTACCCGAGCTATGCCGAGAGATAGATTTTGATATGCAATCACATGATGAGCAAGTGCGGCTATTAGGCGTGGTAGCAAAGACTGACGAGATACGTTGTGGATAGCGCCCTGTAGACTCTGTTGGATGTGATGCTGCAGGGTTCGACATGCCCCTTGAAGAGCTGGTCAGATGTCTGATGTGCCTTTGTTTCCGGGGATGTATCCTACAAACATGCTTGCGTGTATTGGTTAACGGTGCGAGGTCCTCTCCTGATTTGCTGGACTCTGTCCGAAAATCTGTGTCGCCAGGATCATCATTGTCTGAGCCAGATTCTGCTAAATATTCTTGTATCAGAGAACGGCGGTGTCGAGAGGGTACTACCACTTCAATGTTTGTTCTTCTGGGTCGGCCCGAGATTTCAGTGCTTTCTGCTTGGTTCTCCAGGAAGTGCATGTCGGCCCTCGGTCGTTCAGCTGTTAAACAAGTATCCGAGTGCTCTGATGTCGGTGATGTAGGTTCTGTACCTTGACCATTTAAATAATAAGGAGAGTTTATCACATCCATGCTGCAAGATCGGTTGCGATCTGGGATCTCGGGTCAATAAACACCTTGGACCAGAGTGAAAATAGGTTTGATGTGGAGTATCTCACAGTCTTCCGTATTGGATGATCCAAGTTTACTTGGGCTACCAGGTTGTTGATCACCGGAAGCTAAGGTTTGTGGTGCGGATTTTGCGTCCACTGCCTTGCTCATAGACCTGAAACCGGAATATTCTGAGTGGGATGCTTGTGGTTTAACTGTTGGAGAACTGGGTGTATATTTGCTACTACTACTTTGGTTGCGTGTAGAGATGTGTCCGCTGTGTTCTTCTCGTGTATTACTTCTCTGTTGTGTATCTGTATCCAGGTGCGCGATCTCTGCCCCTTCTGATGGAGAAGCCAGGAGTGCCTTTATACCTGGAGATATATCTTCAGGTTTACCTTCTAATGAGACAGAACCCTCGTTGGCTGGATATGTAGGTGGGGGCTTTCTGGGAAGGGGATGGTTACCATGTAATGTAGTTGGTAAATGGAGGGCTTTCGAGTCTTTCTTGTTATTTTCTGTCTCAGAGTGGATATCAGAAGGCATAGAAGTTTCATCTGTGCGCGAGGTGAAGATTTTAGGCTGGTAGAAGCGAATGTGATTCATCCCGGTTAGGTAGGATAAATCCACGGTTGTTGACTGCAGGTAAATATGGATGACAGTTGGAGTCTTAGGGGGTCAGGGCTGCAGCAGGATGATGTGAGGGCTAGTAGCATATAGACAGGACAGGATGATTCTGGTAGAGGCCCTCAGCCAGGTTTGATGCTTAATATAATTTATATCAGGGAGCATACCCTCCTTTATACGACTGGGATGATGTCATCCACGGCAAAGGGACGAGATTCCTGCATCATCCTATATTTTATTGCTCTTATGCTGTGGCAAATTGTATCATCATCTATTCCAATACAATATTCTTTGTATGCTGTATCTCAAGTTTAACTCGGGCTCAAGAGTGACGTAAGTGTTTAGCGCCTCCAAAGATTTTCTATGCGCGTATGGGCCGTCGTGGAAATTTCCTAATATGTATAATCAGTATCAGTCTCTAAAGTCTAGAAGCAGGTGGTTTCATATCGACGGAAAGGGTAGTTGACCTGCAAGAAAATTTGGCGTAATCAAGTACAGCGCGGCTGTAATTGTTTTTGAATATTCTGGAACATATTCCACCCTCCAAAATAATTTGTCATTTTGACCAAGCTGTAAACGAGGTTTTACTGAATAGTAGCAATTTCCATGTAGTAAATATAGTATGTAACTACTGTACCAGACTGTGTCTAGTACAGAACAGTCATCGACTTTATTATCGAAAACGAACCATATGTTCAGAAGACTACCATATTCAAAATCCGCAGATCCTCCTTACCAGCCGATACTTTAAATGTGTGTAGCCGGTTATCGAGGTTGTCCCCTGCTACAGTAATAACAAAGAGAATATTCAATTCACTGGAAAACTCTATCGTCCGACCATAGTTTAGCTGATTGTTCTAGCCAGGATCGGGACCTTTAAGAAGTTTGCAGATCTCGATTCTGTCTGTCAGGCGAAAGTGCCAATGACATCACATATGTTTTAATGAATCATTCTAGACAGTTTTTGTGGCCGACGATCTTGTGCGGTATGTAGGAAATTAACGATCCTGGGCCAGACCAGCGCCCGCCCCGGGGGGGGGGGGGGGGGGGACAGTCGGGCGATTGCGTTTTGTGTAGCTCTCACAACTACGGCGGAGGCCCACGTGACTGGCCGGTGGGCGGAGGGGTGGAAGGGCACAGGACACAGGAGTGGGGGGGGGGGGGGGGGGGCTGCTGAGTGGGTGGAAGAGAGGGTAATAGCAGCAAGCCTTCTTGCTGCAAAAACAGCCAGAGCACTCTACCACTTTCGGAAGCGTAGTTGCCCCGTTGGGCTAGAACTACCCACCAAGGAGACCATGGTCGGCTTGATGGGGCAGTGCCCACATCCAACCAGAAAGGGAAGCCGCAAAAGCGGCCAGGCTGCACCGGAGGAGATTTTATATTAATAAAAATAAGAATATAGATAATCTTAATAATAATTCTGAAAATAAAATATTATTAAAAAGAGAAGATCTAGTTTTTTCTCAGTTTAATAATATTATATGTACCTAGATATAAATAGATATTTAAATTATATAATTTCTTTATTATTATAACTATTAACTAGAATAATATAAAGAATAATTTAAATAATAATTAATATATTTCTTTCCAGTAATCTAATTTAATTATATTCAGATTTCTAGTATTATCTGTAAAAACTTAACATAGGAGTAACTAGACTGCTGGCTACTAGCCAGAAAATCAGATTATTATTAATTAATAACTAATCTAATATCTGTTTTAATAATACAGTAATTAAAAATATATTACTACTGGTATATTATTCTTGTAAAGACTCTGTATAAATTATTAATTAATCTACAGTTATTAATCTTTTAAGTATATATAATCTTTCTAACTGATAATTAAGATCAGTTAAAATAATCTCTTAACCATAACCTACCCTTAACTGTATGGTTAAAAGGATTCTTATACCTTAATCTAACTGTCAGGTTACAGTTAAGGTTAGGTTAAGGTATAACGGTCAGGTATAACCACTCTAATTTTAACTAGTATTAGAATCTTATACTAGTAAGAATCTAGCTGAGATAATTATAGAGATCCTATAGAAATATCAACTGATCTACTGGCTGTTAGATATAATTATTAATAATATTAATAATAATAATATCCTATTCAGTATTATTATATCTAATCTTTAAAGTTAATTTAATAACTATTCCTGATTTTATGAGACTCTAGTAAATCCTGATCTTATAAATATAATTTAAAGCCAGTATTATATTCTATATCTTGTTTATATTATTCAGCTTTCTATTAATACCTTTTTTTAGAAATTCTGAATTAAGGCTATAAATAAAGCTGTTAACTATATATAAAAGAATAATAATAAATAACTTAAAGCCTTATCTAGTATCTCCCAGATAATTAAGAAGATATATATTAAAGTCTTCTGGAAAAGTCTAATAAGAGGCTTTTAGATACTTTCTATAATAATCTTATATAGAAATCCCCTGTACTATATGACAGAAGGCTTTTATAAAAGATATTTAAAAGATTAATTAGATTAAATAGTTTTATATTAATCTAATTTTTGATTATAGATCTGAAAGATTATATAATTTATAAATACTAGTCTCTAATACTGGAAGAAGTTCTAGTTTATTTAATTATTAGAGTTCTAGTCAGTATATTATCTTTTTCTTGATTATAAAACCCAATGGAACTTAATCTACTTAATAATTTACTATACTCTTAAATTATACTAATATATCAAGGACTTTGTCCAGTGCTGGAAGTAGAATAATATTAATTATTTTTTTTTATCTTAATAAAATAGAAATTGTTGGCTGGAAATCAGGAATCCTTACTAACTAAAGCAATCATCTCTTAACTACCCAACTCAGCTGAGAATCCCATACAAATTCTA